GGTGAGGCATTGTGCCTCATCTCCTCCAGTGAGCCTGCTGGAATCCTGGTCTCTGATGGTTGATGAAGAAATCCCCAGCCAGAGTGGCACAGCTGGTTAAGAGCAGCACAGGAACAAGGGTCAAAGCACGTGATGCCCAATACTGGCTAATTCCCTCCCCCCTCCCCCTGTAAACTGAAATAATCAAAATGTGTTGTTTCATGGGGACCAGTTAAGGATCTGAACCCAGAAACAAGCAGTCAGTTGCCTGACTATTCTGCAAACTGGAGGCTGGAGACAGGTCTTAGACTTTTCCGATGGGGCGAGTGCCTGCACTGAATCAGGTGTCAGCAGTTACCAATCAATGGAAAATAGAACAACCTGTCATCAGCTAACAGCCCTGCCTGTTGTCTAAGGAAGACATTACAATTCACACACTCATTCTCCCAGGGGATGTTACCTAAACGGAGAAGAGACAAACAACCAGTATCCTTCATCAGCACGGCCTTACTACGGTGGCCCCTACCATGGGAAGCTCACCCCTTTTCAAGGTTCAGGCGAATGGGATGTCTCCATGCTGAGGGCGGGAATACTTTGGAAGGCCTAGCTACTTTCAGTCCAACTGCAAGGCAGCTTGGCAGCAGTGGGCAGCATTCTAGCTAGCTTAGGCCTCTGCAGGATTGTAGTTCATACCTTGTAGGCAATTTCTCTTCCCCTGAGAACGTGGGAAAAGCCTGCAGCCTCTGGAAGAACCAGGCAAATCCAGATCTAAAATCCTCTTTAGCCTGGATTATGAGGCCTTTACTTTCTGAGCCCCGGATCTGTCATGTATTAAATGGAGACAATGCTATCTTACCGTTGGCTTTCTTGCCAACGTGAAATGGAATAATGTTCACAAAGGACTTGTTGTAAGATCTGGTGCTCATGAAAAACTAAACAAATGTATTTTTGCTTTCTTTTTTTCCTCTTGCCTGGGGCTTGGGAATAGTATCTATTCTATTCTAATAGTATCTATTCTACTCTGTTAGTGCTTTTCAGATAGCAGCCATTATATATTGCATTCATCTCCTGGATAGATACTTCATATATTCATTACAAGTGCAGGATCTTCAGAAGGTTCCTGAAAAATGTGTGTGTTACAGTAACTCTGTATGGATTTCAAATTTTTCTTGCACCAAAACAACCTTATCTTTTAATTCTATCTTTCCTCAAACTTTCAAAAACATCCTTGTATGAGGACACCCATTAATAAATTATTTGGAGGGGAGAGCAAGTGTATTATGAAGCAATTTTTATATGTCCAGGAAACACTAGAATGGCTCCTTTCCCTGTATTACCAAGATAGTTAGGTTGTCACATTATTAAGCTGCACATTAGAATCACCCTGCAGCTTTCCAAATGCCCAGTGTTCAGTCTGCACGCCACACCACAATCTCAGTAGGCATCCCTGGGTTGAGACCAGGCACCAACAGCTTAAAAACCTCCCATATGAGTTCAGGGATAACTTGAACGAGGGAAGCAGGGAGCGACTTGCGCAAAGGGTTTTCAAACACAAAGCTGGGGACCAGAACTACTAGCAGCCCTTGGGAACCTTGTTAGGAATGCAGATTCCCAAGCCTTATGAAAATCTGCTGACTCGGAGAATCCGGGTGATGCAGTCATCTGGATTTAACAAGCCCAGCAGGGAGGAGTCTGCTGCTCCCTCAGGTGTGAGAACCACTGCTCTACCCCGTGGTCTTCTCTCCCTTGTCATCGTGCAAACCAGTGGATAATGACACCCTACTAAGTCTACCGTCTCCCTCAGACGTCCACTCATCTCCACGCTGAGCGGCAGCTTGTACTTCCCTCTTGCTTCAGCAGTCAGTGCCAGCTGTGGTATGAGTCCAACCACGTCTCTTCCCTGTCCTTGGCGTACCCTGGCGGCTCTTCTGCATGGTGTTAGAGGTCCTCCCACCCTGACCCACCCTGACCTCCGCAACCTGCTCTCCATCACTCTTTGGCTCAGGGCTGGCACACGCAGAATCCTGGTAGTCACTCTGTCTTCCCCATGAACACGTGCCTCTAGAGTTCCAACAACATTTTTAAGCACAAACACTCCAGGGAGACTCTTGCTCCTCACTTAGTTGCCTGCTGAAGCCTTGTTGAGCAATACCCAACCTTTTTTAGTCAGATCCAAAGACCTTCTGAAGAAGCCTCTGGGTGTTCATTTTATGTTAAAAGTCCTTCTTCCAGACTCCCACTGGGCTCATGACATGCCCTTACCCTGGCACCACTGTGTGAAATAGAAGCAGTCCCTGTGTGGGTCAGTCTTCCCCGCTGGACCATGCGTTTGCTGCATTTCTCACAAGTTCCTGGTGATGCTGTTGGTTCATGGGCTACCAGTTACAACTGGGTAGCTGGCACGGTGGCCATCCAAAGCTGTGAAACGCAGGCACTTGTTGATTAGTGTTACCTATCACTCTAGGATGAAGTATTTTGTTGGACAAAAATGCTAGTAACTGAGAGGATAACAGATGATTTGCTTGTCTGTTCTCATCAAACACATCATCCCAGATGGGTGACTATTCTTTTGAAGAAGACAAACAGTCCCCTTGTGAGCCAGTCTCCTACACGGCTGTCAGACCACGGTGAGAACAACTGAGAACTGTTAGAGCTTTTACTCAAGACAGAATCAACTTCCTATTCAGAAATGGCACTGGGGAGAAGACAATGAAGGGGCCAGGCTCAGCTTGAGAGGGTTTATTCAACCAACTTTTCTTGCACAGAGAAAACAGAGATAATGAACCTGTCCTAAGTTCCTAGCATTTGACAAGGCGGGAGGTAATGGAGTGAGGGCGCAAGTCACGGCCATATGGTCCCAAATAGGATGCAGAAGCAGCCCCCTCAGGAACTCTTCCTCAACCTTCCAAAACATCGGTCTAGCCAGTGACCAGTGCTCCGCATTGTACCCTCTGTATTTCCTTCCAGCCACCTAGCCCCCACGGAACAAGACCTACCAAAGTTGAAGCGTGCTTGAAAAGCTATGCATTTGCTGCCTACTCCCCCACCACCCCGAAATCTTCAAAATATACAATCCCAGCCTGCTGGAAGACTGGCTCTCACCACTGCTTCTCTAGCCTGCACACTGGCAGTTGGCCACCCACTTCGGATTTGTTTCTAATGCAATTGATTTGGCTGTGAATTCGCTACCTGTTTCCTCTTTGCATCTTGGCTAACAAGAGGGACTAGTACTGCCACAGCAGATAATGCAGGAGAAAGAATTTAGGTCAAAGAAAATTCCAGAGTTGTGGGGCTGGATCTCTGATCTTCTCTAAGCGAAGAGCTTTGGATAGAGACAGGATCCTCTGAAGATGGGCGATGGCTAGGGGTCGTGCAACCTTCCAACTGTGACCATTCAAGTTTTCATCCTCACTGTTCACACTCGGATAAAAGATTCAGGAATCAGCTTGAAACTGTCAGATGAAGTTTTCCAGCAATGTCACAGGACTCTTAGTCATCTGTAACTCTGGGCAGCTGTTCTCCAGTGCCTGGTCTCATGTTGTGGAAGGGCTGCAGGCTTGGCTCTGGGTCACTTCTGCCTAGGCCCTCTGGGAAAACTGGGCTGTGTGTGCTGGGGCTCCCTTTAGGGGTGTGTAGTACTGTTCCTAGGCCATCCCATGTTCAGACAGGTTGGATGTTGTGCAATGGCTCAGGATGTGTTGAGCTCACTGTTTTTCCTTTCACAGCCTTCTGAAAAGGTTCTCTTCAGTTCATCATACTTGCCCTTGGCCCACATGTCCAGGCTGCACTGGCTTCCGCACAAGTCTGCTCATGCTCCGCCCACATCCCGCGCATCTAAGTGAACAGACACAAGGCTCTTCTGCTAAGCTTTGTTTCTTGTCACAGCCCCTGCTTGATTTGCACCCCAACAGTTTTTTTTCTTCCAGATGAGGTCATTCATGCATTCATCAAATCTTTACTGGATGCATCAACCCCAGATACTAGGGGGCACAGGGATGAAGAAACAAAATGTCATGCATCCAAAGGATATACATAATAATACAAAGAATGTGTATTTCCCTCACCCAACTTAAGACATACAGCATGACAAGGCGCAGGTATTTGGTTTTCATTAAGACCCCAGGTGGGGCTCTCCCTCTCTCTCTCTCTCACTCACACACACACACAATCAGAATACCTGCATTTAAGTCTCAGTTCCAGCTCCTGACTCCAGCTTCCTGCAGGTACAGACCTACCAGGCAGAGGTAACAGTGAAACAGAGAATGTTGGAAAAAGATACATTATGACATTATTTGTGCAACATTTTAAAACCTGGGACTCAGCAGTATGGATTGTTTGTGACCATGGGCAGCCATCTAAAAGCCTAGAAGACATACAGAAGGACTCCAAACACTGAACTCAAGACAATGGCTACTGATCTGAGAAGAGGGATAAAGGGGACAAGCATCACTCCATACTTTCTTTCCTTTTAGTGGAAATTCTCTCTCTCTCTCTCTCTCTCTCTCTCTCTCACACACACACACACACACACACACACACACACACACAGTGGGAGGATTTGGAAGAGAAGGAGAGAGAGCTCCAATCCACCATTTTACTCCCCAAGTTACTGCAATGACCAACACTGGGACAGCCTGAAGTTAGAAGCCAGGTGCTCAACCCAGGTCTGCCATGTGCGTCTCCCAGGAACCCCCACATACATACAGGTCTTAAGGGAAAAACTTTATTAAATGATGAATCTTACCATAAAACCTCCTAGAGAACAACAAACAGCTACTTAATGAAATTCTGACAACCTAGAATTTACTGATGGAATTATTATAAATTATACATGCAGCAGCAGTAATATTACAGAAAATTTGTGGAAGAAGTTCAAACCTGCCTGTATTATCATCCCATTAACATAATCATTTTGGTTTTTTTTTTTATTAGACATATGCTCATTGACTTGGAGATTATCTGTTGCCTTAAGTGAACTGAATGATTTTTAGGAATGAATTCATTATTACCTTATTTTACGTTCTGTGCATATCTTCCAGAAGCGTTCAGTCTTGTACTGTTATTCTAATGGGTTTGAGGCAGACGACAGTTAAAAACAAATGAACAGAACAAATTGCCAGGTCAGACTTACTTTTATTTCAGAAATTATCTTTCATTACACTGTGCTTCCCAACAGCCCTGGCCTCGCAGAATATTCAAGCTTTTCCGTAATTGTTTCGACAGCAAAAGTAAAGTATGCGCAGAGCAAAGCTTGCTGAAAGCCAAGCGAGACACAGCACTCAACAGTCGTCTTCTGCCTTGTGATCTCTACCCTGCTGCAAGTGTTCTGGAACAGCACAGGGCTGCGGGAGGGGCCAGCCTGGCCAGTGGGTTTCAACGGGCGCTAGATACAGCATCAGGGTCACATGGAACTGAAGGCCAGGGCATGCTTCCACTCCCGTGAGCGGGCAGGAGACATCCCTCTGAAATTCCGCTTCAGAACCTTCTACCCCAGAGTCCGAGCTGGGCTGGAGATGAGAACGCCACTGACACAGCATCAAAATTAGCACCTTGTTCACGCAGAGCTGGCGAACACAAGATTCTGTTCATTATTCGTGGTCAGGCTGCCTCGCTGTCGGGAGACACGTGACCGTTCCTGGCCCTCGAGCGCGCACGCGCACGTCTGCACTTGGAAACGCTGCTCCCGCAGATCCGACGCGGGGGACACATGCAGGATGTTCTTAGCAAATTGTTTTCATTAAGCACTTCTGCCACTTACTGCTCTGCCTCTAATAGATGCTGTAGAATTTCTGATTGGAACCACATGGAACACACTGGAACAGGGCAACAGAGGCACTCTCCTGCGCGATCACCCTGTGCTTTCACCGTCTGCAAATGCAAACATCATTGTATTTGTAAATATCATGACATTCTGTTTTTTTTATATACCTCCTGTGAAACAAACACAAGTCCTTTTGGGGTCATCTTTAACAAACCAGAATCCAACGTGATGCGGTAAGGGATAGACATGACTTACATTTCTAAAAGTCACCAAAACCTCACACATAACCACAGAGTATTCTTCTCATTAAAAAGTAAGAATTCTTTTGCCCAGCGCAGTAGCCTAGCGGCTACAGTCCTCACCTTGAACATGCCGGGATCCCATATGGACGCCGGCTCTAATTTTGGCAGCCCTGCTTCCCTTCCAGCTCCCTGCTTGTGGCCTGGGAAAGCAGTCGAGGATGGCCCAAAGCCTTGGGAGCCTACCCCTGGGGGAGACCTGGATGAAGCTCCTGGTTTCAGATCGGCACAGCTCTGGCCATTGCAGCCACTTGGGGAGTAAATCAACAGATAGAAGATCTTCCTCTCTGTCTCTCCTCCTCTCTGTATATCTGACTTTCCAATAAAAAATAATAAAATAATAAATCTTTTTTAAAATGTAAGGATTCTGTATCTCCCAAACATATAAGACACACTGCACAACCAAAGACAGCATGACAAACAGTATTAGACTGGGTACTGTGAATATTATTCTCTGAAGCTGAATCAGTTTCAAATGTCTATAGCTTCCACCTTCTTGTCTATAAAAAGACACACTGCAACTCAGTGACTTCCAAAGTCCTTCTGGTCTTCAACTTCTAAGTTCCTATGATTCCAAGAACAAAAAGGTCAAACTGATGGGTTTTTTTGAGTCCCAGATGCACAGTGCGGAGTGGGTCTGGTCTAACGCCAGCAAGCCTTGCCATGGGCTGCAGGTCTCCAGGAAGATGGTTACGGGCATGACCTCATTCTAAAGGTTATGACCACATCGTTGCCACAGGAAAATGCAGAAAACTTTCAGAGGAAAGAAATTATAAAAATGATAACAAGAAAGGAATTGCAATGCTTACTTGTTCATTGTTCTCTTTATTCTATCAACTTTTTTTTGTACCAGGTCGCTTGGAAACATCTAACAGGATTGATGAGCTCAAGTTACTGGACACTGGAATCACCTGAGGTTGCTCCCCAAACTGCTGGCACCACCTCCAGGAAGTATAATTACGTGGCACATGGGATAGACTTTGGACTGCTCCAAAAATATCCAGATAATTCTAATGAACAGATCAGCCTGGGAACCTGGGAGTTAGAGTTCTCTGCTCTGATTCCATTGTTAATTAGATCCCAGGGATCTAACTGGATTGAACTTTTTGAAGTATTTCTAGTGTTGCGACCAGAAGGGTGGAGTGCAGATCCGGTAGCACTGGAGAGCTTAAAGAGGCAAAGGAGGTCCCACAGCCCTTTCCCTACCACATGGAGACGCACAGGACGCCGCCCTCTGTGTGCCGGGAACAGACCTCTTGAGCAAGCCCGAGAGCCATACCTTCACTCCCAGCTCTCGCCACTGGGATGAAAGCATTCCTGCGCTCTAACCACCTGTTCTGTGTATGGGCAGAGGAAGACCTCCCCTCTGCCACCCGTCCTCCTGTCGCTGGTCTACAACTCCTCAAGTTGTCGGGCATGCCCCTGAGTCAGACCCAAGTTCTAATCATGCAAGCCATCTCTTTGAGCCTCAGGGTCTCCACTTGCAGATGTGTGATATTGATTCCTGTTCCCACACAGAATTTTATATCCTGGATGTAAAATGACCATGGAGACAACACAGTAGTTCCCACGGATGGGTGGGGTCTGTAGTCTGACTCTCTCCGGCTCCCCCATCCTTGTGTCCCTTCTCAGGGCCAAGTTGGTCTCCCTCGAAGCATTGCCTGGTCCCCTGACTCCTCATCATTACTTCTCCACAGACAACGTCTGCTGGTAACAAGTTCTCTTAGCTTCCCTTTACCTGACAAGGTCATTAATTTGCCTTCATTCTAGGATTTCTGAACTGATTAGGAAAGTCTGTGCTCACAGCTCTTCTCCTGCTGCATCCTTAAAGAAAAATGTTGCCTTGGCCTCCGAACACCAGGGTTCAGATGAGGAAGTCATGATGGTTTGGACAGCCGTGCCTTTCTAACAAAAAGCTTTTCTCCAGCTGCTTCAAGGTTTTTTTTCCTGTTCAACAGCCTGATTATGATGGTGTCTCTGTAGAGCTTTTGAAAACATAAATTCAAGGTTTTTTTAATCAGCATTTCTTCAAATATTTTTTCCTGCATGGTTTTATTCCTGCTTCCCTCACGGAATTCCAATGAAATGAATGTTAGACTTTTGGATTCTGTTCCAGTCTCTTTGGTCCTCACTCTCTTTTCGCTCTAATCTTTCTCTTTTCTAATCTTGCTGTCATCTTCACCCTCATGCAGTTCATTCAATGAATTGTAAAAGTTTTTTTTTTTCTATCAGGAATTTAGTTTTCTTTACACTTTTTTTTTTTTTTTTTTTGCTTTTAGAAATATTCCTTGGTTCTTTTTCGTCTCTCTAGCTTTCTACTGTTTAGCTTTCCATTCATTTCAAGGTGTCTGCCTTTATCCCAGGGAACATAGTTACAAGAGCTGTTTCCTGTTTTAGGCTGATATTTGCGACATCTGAGTTAGCTTAAGGTTGGCATGGTCCATTGTTTTTTTCCTCTGAGAATTGCCCAGATCTTCTAGTTCTCTGTAAGTTGCAACATTTTGGACTGTATCCTGGACATTTTGGATATTATGTTGTGTAGACTCCAAGTCATATTATGATTCTCTGCAAGAATTTAATTTTGTTTTTTGTTTCCGGAGACAATCAGAGCAGTTGGGCTCCTCATGTGAGTCCCGTCTCCTGCTGTGGGCAGAGGTGCAACTGCAGCAGAATTCGCAAAGCCTTTGGCATCGTGTTTAGGATTTTCCCTACCCACCAACAGTTTAGGAGAGACCCTGGGATGCTTGCAGGTCCCCTATGTACAATTAGAGGACTGGCTCCTCCAACTTTCTTCCCTCTGGGGTCCTTCACACAGGACCTTTCTTTCTAATGCCTCTGGCAAGAAACCCAGTGTTTCTTTTTCATGTCAGCTGTCTAGCCTTCCACCCAGCTCCTACCAGCTGCCTGCCTCTGCAGAAAAAAAAAAAATCTGCCGTTTGTTCCACTGTTCCCAGCACACAGGGCTCAACTTCGTAGCTGGTGATCTCCGTAGAGATGGGCTTCTGTTGAGGGCTAGCCATGGCTGCACTGCCACCAGACAGTTTCTGGCCTGCCTTTGGCATGGAGCCCCAGAAGAACAGTCACCCCACCTCCCTACCTACTTTTGTTTACTTTATAGAATCTCCAGGTAGCTACCTTTTGTGTTTCTCCCAGAATTTTCCCTTGTAATCAATGAGAGACAGGTGGTGTGGACTCCTCCATCCTGGGACCAGAAATGTCATCCTACTGATATCCAGTCATCATTTCCGTACATCCCTGTCCATCGTGGATATAGCTTCAACATTTCCATTAACCTCATTTTCGCATCATTTTGTTGATTCAGTTCTCCATTTATATATCTTGCTAAATCTATGTTTGCATCTGTATTTTGTTTTGTATGTAAGTTTGTGTATATACCATTAACTGTTTCTATATTAATATCTATCTTAGTAGCCATAACTAGACTCTTTTGAACTATGCATGCCTAATTCACAGTATTTTATAGCATTTATTTTTCTGTTATGCTTTATGGCATTTTTGTTCCCACTTGGAGACCCCTACAAATAGTGCTGCTGCTTTAAAGCTTCTGGTTCATGCTGTATGGTAGAATAAAATGACTGGGTCATTGGATATGTGTAGTTTTAGCATATACTCAGGACTGTTAATTTTAAAACAATTCCCCACATGATTCAAGGATACAAAAAGAGTTGTTTGTTGCTTTTCTCAGACTGTCAGTAACATCCTGGCTTCCAGCTTCTGTGTCCTCTGTGGTTGTAGGCCTAGGAGCATTTTCCCCACTGCCCTTTGTCCAGGTAGACTGTGGGACAATGGGAACCCGCTCCTCCAGGGCCTGTTAGGACTGGGCTTCCGCCTGCAACCTCATCTCAAACATGCAAAATCTAAGCAAAATGGAGCAGAGCCGAGTGTCCAAGCAGCATCCCCTTGCTCAACAGAGTCACCACTCCCTGCACCAGGTGTCGGCCTCCTCCCATTGTCCTGCCTCTCAACCCTCTCCCTCCTCAGTGCCCTGGTTCCACACCAAGCAATCATTTTTGTCTACTACTGATTTGATTTTATGAACACAACTGACCCCCCCACTATGCCCTTCTGGAGTTTCATCTCCCTGGCCTCCTTATTTTGGGGGACCTCCCTGTGATGCTGGGTGATAAACCTTTTTTTTAGATCTGTCCTGTCAATTCCACTTGTGCCAGACAATTCCCATGGCTCACCTTGCATCAAAGGAGAACCCACTCACAGGTGCTTGGGGGACATTACCTTTCCTGTCCTGTTGATCACTCACAGGGGCCGGAGTTTCTTCCGGCTGTGCCTCGCCCTTGTCTTTCAGCATCATGTCTCCCGTTGAGAAGAGCATGTACAGCTTCTGCATTAGACCCATCACAGTCTGAGAATCGTTCCTCTGGTTGTTTCCTAACGCTGAGAAATGCCGTTCCCAGGAGCCGGGCTCACCGAACAGCCCACTGTCATCTCTCTCTATTTCATATACCTCAGGAATAAGACTGAAGTGATAACAGAAAAGAGATGGAAAATACATTTGACCATGCAGGATTAAATTCACATACAATCTGATGACATCACAGGAACCCACTTGTTGCATGGGGTTGAGAGAGGCCAAATTCAGGTTGTGGATGTAATTTCACTCGGGTGTAGTTGTGTGGGATGCCAAGCCAGTATTATTTCATCCCTGAATTTTTACTGGGTACTTGGGGTTGTATTCTACAAAAACAGACTTGAAAGAACCTCTCTTTCCAGTCTTGTTAGGTGATGTGCTTCCCAAGTGGCAACTGTTCTCACTGGTGAGTTGCCTCTGGCAATTGTTGACATCTCAGCTGAATCTCCCTCTGCCCTCCAGGCACAGCCCTGCCTGCCCCTGTCTTGTGTGAACTCCCACGACTTCTCTTGCCTTCCTGCCCACTGGCTGCAGAGGCCCAGGGGAGGGACCACATTTTAGGAGAATTCTTAAGCCGATCTATGTAGCAGTTAAATCCTCAATTCCTAAGGGGCGACAAGGAACAGGACCCTCCTGTCAACCCTGCACTGGACCAGGATGTGGGTAATAAGTGAATTTTATGCAAAAAAAAAAAAATCAATCAAATGGTCACATCTAGCTTTGGATGTCATAGAGCTCAAACTTTTAGTGTTTTCAACTTACAAGACTGTGTTCTCTGTGTCGGTGCTTTCTGGACTGGGATAGGTGACATTGGGGCATTTGGCTCTCAGATCATCTGAAGGATAGCTGTTAATGGCACCTGGAAAGAGAAAGGACTGATTAGTCTACGCTGTACCCTCCTTGTTAACACTGTTATCCAAAGTCAGATTATTGGTTTTCTGGTTGGTAGTATTTCCAAGAACAAATTCAATTTGTAAGTAGGCACACTTACATTGAAATACTTTATTGTAGGCAAAGTCAGTGCGTTATAAAAGTATTTGTGAAAGTGTCGGAAAATGAAATTGGAAGACATTAAAACTTTGGGGTGGGTGCTCAGTGTAGCGGTACACAGACAATTGTACACAGACAATCTCTTGCAAAAGCAATAGTTAAGCTTGCAGGACTTACGTCTGATCGAATGCACAAAAGGCCTGAGAAACTTGATGACATAGTTGAAATCTGGTTTATGGGTTCGGCCAAGCTGGACTAAGTGGTGATCCAGAGGCTGGCTGGCTAGTTCTTCTAATTCCTTGTCACTGTGTGTAGGACCAAAGGAAAACACAAATATGGTGTAGCCTTGACACTTGGCTCTCTGAGACACGTTCCTCAAGACCTCCTTGTCTACAGGATTGGTTTCACCAGCAGATACGATGAAGATAACTTTGTTTTTCTTAAGGTTGGGAGTTCCTACAAAGACGTTGTCAATCGTCCATTGCAGGGCATGACCCGTAAAAGCATCTCCGTTGAGCTGTTGCACGGAGTCTAGGAGGTGATGCTTCATTTGGTCCCTACTGTTATAGGTAAGCAAATCAAATTCCAGGTAAGCGGGGCAGTCCTCCGTGTTGGGCCTGTATCCTGAAGGAGAGTAGCTGAGCACGGCCACCCTGTCTCCTATGATGGAGGTCAGTGGGTCAGGGGTGACGTGAAAGTAATCAAGCACGGAGGTTACAAATGCTTTCACTTGCTTGAATTCATCATCCCCCACTCGTTGGGAAGCATCAATGAGAAATGCCACATCCATGTAATATTCTTGAAGAGAGATATCCTCAGGTTTAAAAGAAAGATTGGATTCTTCTGTTCTGCCATGTTTTTCTTGTCCTGCAACAGATAACTCAAAGTTACTCTTCCCAAGAGAAGGACAAACTTGAAACCCAAGCCACAGATGACAAATACATGCCTGGAGTGTTGCCAGGCATCACCCCCACCTACGGGGCAGGCATCAATAATCAATCACAGAGCTTGTTTCCAGATGTATTCGCCAACACTGTCTCCACATAGTGCATGGTGCATAAAGAGCTGGTGCCATTTGACAGGTGTTGCCTCATGAACAAACATTAGACACAGCAGCCCTTCTTAGATCATTGTTAAACAGTTTATTTATACCCTCACTATGTTAATAATGAAGGTGCAGTCTGCAGTTACAACATATGTAGAACTGAGCTGGTTAAGAGTTAGTCATATGCAATGATACCAAGAACAGGTGTCGAAGCTCCATTCATTCATGGCACAAATGCATGGACCATTACACACGTTCATGAAGCATGCAAGGAATAATGTCATGAGAGCAGGTGCAAAAAAGTACTATTTTAAATCCACATGCTGTGTCCAGAAGCAACATATCCCATGACTTTTGGTGTTCAGAGTGCCATGAAAAATAAGAAGCTTGCACTGTAACGTAAATCAACTTATTACTAGGCACACAGTTGGTTGACTTGTGTGTGAGTGTGTGTGGGGGGCGTGTAATAAATCTTTCTCAGTGCCTCCATTTATACTCCGATGCAAGTTGATCCTGTCGGGCATACCAGCTGTTCACGCAGGCAGCACTGCTACAAGCTGAGGGATGGTGAAATTGGCTCACAATTATGGGGATGATGGTTGACTGCTGAAGTCATGACAGGAATCATCAGCTCAGAAAGACAGTAAGTACACGACCATGTTCTTCTCCCCTTGAAGGAAGAGGAGTGTTTGCAAACATAAATAAGCACCCAGCAGACTTCTCACTGGCAAGAAATTACTGATCCCTATTTCTGTCCAAACAGATGCTTTATGTTTATTATTGTATTTATCACAAGTGCATTGATTAATCTGTATTAGTACCATAAAATCTTAATATTGTTGCAAAACAAACCCTTCCCCAACACAACACACATAACACCAACCCACAGCATGGGTGAAGTCATTAACAAGGCTGCTGTATTGGCTGATTTCTGAACATGCAATGAACTCTGAATTCCCAGAGTAAAAATCCACATTATTTTTTTTAATCTGTCAATGAATTTTATTTACTAAAGTTTTGTTTAGAAATTTTGTATTCACAGGAATGTTGGTATGCAATTTTACTTTCGTGCGGTGTCTTTGCCTGGGTGTTGGTATCAGGACAATCTAACCACAAGCATGAAATATTCCGTCTTCGATTTTTCTAGAAGAGTTTGTGTAGAATTGGCATTATCCCTTCCTTTCATGTTTTGAGATATTAGCCAGCCAAATCATCTGTGCCTGTAATTTTCTTTATGAGAAGGTTTGAATTTCAAATTAAACCTCTTTAATAGGTATAGGAGATTTAGGCTATTTCTTCAGTGAGCTTTGGCAATTATGCATTGTAAAAAAAAATGTATATTTCACCTGAGTGTTCTTAATATTTTTTAAAACGTGTTCACAATATTCCCTGATTGTTATGCAACTCCCCAAACTCCTCACGTTGCTTGTTGTGTCTTTTCTTGGTGGGCTTCATTACAGGCCTATCAATTTTGATCTTTTAAGAGAAACAATTTGGGGCTTATTCATTTGTCTTTCGTTTTATGCTTTTCTATTGCATTAACTTTCACATTATTACTTTTTTCTGAGTATCTTGGGTTTCACTTGCTTTTTGATTTCTTAAGGTAGAAGCTGAGTAGAGTGACTTAGAATATTTCTTCTTTATCAACTTAGGCATTCAGTGTTATTAATTTCCTCTTAAGTGCTGCTTTTGTTAAATGTCAGAAATTCCTGTATATCTAATTCATTTTTACTCATTGCAAGATACTCTCTAATTTCCCTTTTGATCTCTTCTTTGAACATGCCTATTTAGAACTGCTTTTATTTAATTTCCAAATAATTGGAGAGTTTTCAAAGATCTTTGTGCTATTGATTTTTAATTCAATTCTGTTTGGGGCAGAGAACATATCTAATATGACCAGAATTCTTTAAAACTTTGAATGTTATCTCATGGTCCCAAAATGGTCTACCTTGATCATGTAGTTAATGTGTACTAGAAAAGAATGTGTATTTTATTATTGTCAATGAGGTATAACTGACAGTGTTGTTCAAGCCTATTGCGTTTCCTCTGGCTTTCTACTTTTCTATTAATTTCTGCAAGAGGATACTGAGACCCACTGATATTCTTTTCATTTAAAAAGGTTTGTTTCATTTGGATCATTTCTATTGCTGCATTTTCAAGTTCACTGATTCTAACGCTTTGCCAAAGCTCGCCGGCCACGGATGTTACCCGGTGCTTTGTTCACTCCAGACCTACTGGCTTTCATCTCTACAAATTCTATTTTACTATTCTTTTTATACCCTCTTTGTCTCCACTGCATTTTTAAACATATGGGATATATTTGTAATAATCGTATTGATATCTTAGCTAAATTCTCACACTTGAGTCAGTTCTGGTTTTGTTTTGAGGGATTCTGTTTTTTGTTGTGAATCATGCCTTTTTTTTCTTTTTATGTCAGACATTGTGAAGTTTCCCTTGTTGTGTATGGAATACTTTCACATTCTTATATCCATGTGTTGTCTTCTGGGAGGCAGTTAAATGATTTAGAAACTCAGGTCCATTGGAATTCAGCTGTTAGAATTTGGTAGGCATGTCCAGAATGGTGCTTAACTTAGCACTACTTCTGACTCCTGAGGTGAGACCTTCCTGACTTTTCTCCTCTGTGTCCTGTGAGTTCTGTGTTTCTCCAATCTTCCTGGCAGGAAATGCGGCACCTCAGGCCCTGTGATCAAATGGCACTGTGTTCTTCTTTGAGATGCTTCACTTCCTGGTCGTATGCAGGTGCCATTATGCTCTGCTGAATAGTCCAGGCCAACTCCACAGATCTCTGGGATGCTCTCTGGGCAGCTTCTCCTCTCTCGTAAATCCTCAACCCTGGCCTCCCAAGTCCTGGCGTCTAGCAGCTTACCATCTGACACACACATGCACTATATTTCAATGTGCAATTCCTTTGAATTTCATGTCCACAAAATTTCTGAAGAACTCCCACGAATATACTTGAACATGAGGGATCTTCAAAGAGCCCATGGAATTGTGCATTATTTTTTTTAATTTATATTTTTCCAAGAATCATTTGAACTAGATGTGGTTGTCTAAGTCAGGAATCAGAACCAGTTTTATATTCAACATTCAGCTATTCCAGCTTTTGTTCCAACTCTGGCAATTCCAAGAAGTGGTGACTGATCATCTGGTCTGAATGCTGCACATTGTCTTCCTTCTCACAAAGAACTGACCTATATCCCCTGGGTCCTCCCTTTATCCGCACCTTTTTACTACCAGACAGCACTTTGCACTTCAAAATCACGTTGGCAACATGTGGGCCTCTTCTTTTTCACCCAGAATCCAGTTTGAAAATTCCTCTGGGAATTTCTGATTCTAATGGAGGTCTCTGATTAAGCTAATCTACATGAAACCAGAAGTAAAAATAGTATGTTTCATATTCTTTTCTGTCAGTGCTATATGATGAATATCACCCAAAACACCTGCCACCAAGATGGCTGCTTTCCAGTTAATGTTTTCATTTCTTTAAGCAGAACAACTGATACACTTTATTAAAGCATCAGAAAAAAATATCGCATAAATGTTCTCACAAAAGAGGAAAGGGTTGGTTGATCAAGATTGTAGGATACTTTCCATGCACATCCTTTTCCAATTTTCTTTATAAATGACCAAAAATCTCAATTCTTTTGTAAACGACTCAGAAGTATTTTCAAAAGAAGTATATTTTATCTCTAAAAACAATTTCCCTTCATACCTACAGGATTAGCATTGAGAATTGAAGGAGCCACATGTGCCGGATTGTGTCATGAAAACTCAAGAGGTTAGTCAAACAAAAAGTGTGCTTTTTCTACTTCGAGGACCGTCAAAAATATGTTCCTTCAAGAAAACCAGGCAGAAGTGTGGATCAAGTACATGCATGGCTCACAGCAATGCTGTGTATTTTCTGAAAATGTCAGCCAAGTCAAATTCCCATCTTCAATTCTGTGGAAGAATTTCCTCAGAATGGCCGAGAACTGAAAACTGGCTCTGTTTCTCACGCACGAGGATAGGATGGAAACAGGGATCTGGTCAGGTTTCCAGGGAAGCACCCCCAGGGATTAGTCCAATTTTGGCCAAGGAGCGAACCGCAATGTCAAGTGTGTTCCCCAAAGAAACTTTCGGGAGAAGTGGGGTAGTGGAAAGGAAATGCAGGGAGAAGGGAGAGTTGAAGGGTTTTGAGCCATTTGGCCTGGGACTAACTGTGCTATAAGGCAGCTGTACTGCGTGTCATGGAGAGTCCTGGCACCTCAAGAGATGCAGGCGCTATCCAGTGCTCTGACTTTGAACTTGTCGGGGGACCAAAACTAGCCATATGTTCTCCACAGGGCAAGCCACATGTGCAACGGGGACTACATTTTTTGGTGTGTCTGTTCAGATGAATTGTACTTGATATTTTTTCAAATGAAAAAAAAATAATTACAATGATTTCTCATGAAGTTGTCACCACTTTTTGCTTTTCTGCTTTCTGAGTATATAATTGAGGATTTTGCTTGCTGCAGGTCTTATGGGCCTCTCGGTTCTGCACATTTTTCTCTTATTTAACCTTCTGTACTGCATGGGAAAGGTGGCATTCTCATCATTCCCATTTTACAGTTGAGAAAACTAAGGCTTGGAGAGAGTAAATGGACTGGACCAAGGAATCACACGTGGTGATCAGCAGAGGGAGAAGAATGGGTCCTCAGAGGAGAAGGTGGGGCAGGAACACTGCAGAACAAGTTAACTGGCTCCTTCAAGGCCTTGGGACCTGGGCTCAAGAACATACTCCTCATTCAGTTGCTACTCCTCTGACTGAAGCCATTAGACAATGTTTTCTTCTAAGATTAAACGACTTGGGTGTACAGACATCACCAACAGCGGTTCCGGTGTGTTGCTTTCTGCACTGACTCCTACCCGTCAACATGAGGTCAAAGTTCTGAGCAAGATGTAGGAATGCATGAGGGTAACGCATTTCCCGGTAGTTTCTGATACAGGTTTTGTTTGGGTAGTACTTAGGAATCAAAAGGCCAGGGAAGCACAGGGGGTCAAAGGGGAACTCTGCAAATCAGTAAGGCAAAGGTAGGAAGATGCAGGAAGCTGGAGTCTTGGGAAAAAGAGGGTGCTGCACAACTTGCCACCCAGCCATGTGTCCTGTGGGAACTACCAGTGTCTTTTATAGCTAAGATTCCAGACTTTCCTCCAAACTCCCTCTTAGTTCCAGAGCAGGAAGATCTGCCATTCCCTGTTAGGGCTCGCATGATGGATGAGAAGTGAACTGAGCAGGCGGAGGGGCACAAGAAACCTGTCAAGTTTGTATGTGTACAAGACATCTGGTACTAATCAGAGCTCATGGCTCAGTGGCTGAAGGAAATATCTGCACTGCAGCAAACTTTCCAGAAACAACACATTCTATAGAAGTTCACAGCAGATTTGGGCAAGTGGAGTGTGTGTGTGTGTGTGTGTGTGTGTGTGTGTGTGTGTGTGAGAGAGAGAGAGAGAGAGAGAGAGAGAGAGAGAGAGAGAGAGAGAGAGAGAATAGATGAAGTCTCATGAAAACACTTAGGATCTGAAACTCAGATTTGTCTTATAAATAACAAACGCATGTTATCCTAAATCAGAGATGCTGTTTCCAGGACAACCTGACAAAAATCCTCCAGGGGAACTCCTCAGTAAGGGGAAACTGGGTGTGGTGGAATTCGTATTCTTTTCCCTGCTAGAGCTGAAAATGAAGATTCCACAGCTATGCCGGACCTTCGGCTGACCTCAAGTTCCTTGGCCCTTGGCCCTCGGAAGAGCCCAGGTACCTGGAAAGTCTTTCTGTTCTGAGCACTGGTCATGGATAAGGGTACAAGGGTGCCTGCCTGCCCGCTCCCCTCTTCTCATCTTCCTTCCCCTTTCCCTCTTTGCCTTCCTCTCACACCTCTGGGTGACACATCTGTCTTTCCTGACAGGGTCCACCATGGTCAATGACCGGACTCTTTAATGCTCTTCTTTAATAAAGCTATGACAAATGACATTTTCTTCTTCTCATTTTAAACCAATTCAAAATAAATTCCTGTGAGTTGAAGGCTGTTCTAATTCCTACATCATTAAAATGAACACAGAAAATGAACAACATCCATTAAAAAGAATACTTAATGTTTTTCTTTAAGCTATATTTATATGAGTAGTTAAATATGTTTCAACTAAAAAAAACATACAACTAAAAAACATAAGTGAATGCTTTATTAATACCACACATATCACTTCTTTTTAAAGCTAAGATGTTTGATTTTTCAACCAATGTTTGACTTCTTCATTTCAGCTTTCACAAGAGTATGCTTGGTTGTTTTAAAGTCCAAACATTTATATTCCAGGGATAAAAGAATATGAGTATTGAATGCACAAAAGGAAATGTACTGAAGGCAGCCACTAAGAATGAATAACAGTACAAGACTGCCGCCTCCACCCACCCTAGCTCTACACCACATACTCTAGCTATACACATGGCACTTTTGACAAAATTCTTAAAATGCTCGCCTTTTGGCCAAATGAGCATTTTGAAAGGCTCTGGATGCCTGGATGGAGTAGCTGAATAATGAGTTTGGAATTTCACACTTTCAGAATAAAAACACTGACACAATGCTGAGGTCTGATTTGCTGCCGCTGTTAGATCCTAATTAGAGTTACTGCCTTGTCACTCAAATGCACCCCAGAGGGCAGTGGGCGCTATGCTCTGGTGCCCACCATGGGCACCTCAGAAATCACTCAGAGGAGGAAACTTGGAAATGTTTGAGGGAAATGGAATTAAAATATGTTGCCTTCATGCAAAAGCATTTTAAGTTGCGTTCACCTATCTTCCCATGTAGCAGTAGCCAAGCCACCTGCCACACCGTTTTTATGCCTTCTTTATTCTGCTGCCCTCTCTACCTCCCTGCTCTACATCCCGCTAGATTCTAGAGGTCTCTTCAGCTTGGTGAGAACACCAGGACATGTCAGAGAGCTCCTACAAGCAATCTCCTTCATGGTGGCACTCACCGTCTATTTTAATTCAGTTCCACCAGAGGCAGAAATTGTAGCTACCAGCTTGTACTGCCCCCACCACCCAAACAAAAGTGCTTTGCATGTTACCCTTAGCTTGTGCAGTTCTCTACCACTGTTATGGTGTGAGGACCCAGGCTACGTAAAATTTCTGTCATGACTTCGATTTCCTTACCAGCATTGGCTGTAGGTCCTTGATCGCTGTCATAGTTATTCGCTAATATCTTTGGTTCTACCATTTGGCTTGGAATGTAAACCAAATGGCCGTGTCCATTGTCTTCCAAGAGAAAGGAGGAGTCTTTTCCAGCAATTAATTCCTGGCTGAAGAAGCTGTTCTCATCTGAAGAAATCTCAAGGAGCTCATTAATAAATCTAGAAAAATAAAGGGAAATTTCAGATGAACCTAGATGACTTCAGATCATGCTAAGTGCAAACCAAGTAGCTATTTAACCTTTCTTAAAAGAAAAAAAAAGATTTTATTTTTTAAAAATCATCAAATCAGAGTGCCTGCTTGACAGAGGATAGAATACACAAAAGGCCACTAGGAACCCTCATTAGCATCTCAGCCTAGGACACTGGACAGGTTAGGGTACCCATCATTCAATGAAGTCACTTGTAACAGACACAGCTTCCTACTTACTGGACATCACGGTTTGGACCATCTTCTTTTTCTGAATTAATGAGTCTGCAGGCATCCTCAAGCACCGGGGGTGGGTACGAGTTGAACCCTCCTGTTGACAGTACAAAGTTACAGTCAGACCTTAACACTAGAAATGGGATTTGCTGAGCAAAGAGCAAGCCACTCTTGGAACAATCGATGACATTACATCTCAGCAGTATTTGGCTGGTGGAAACCAGTAACTAGAAACACTGTTCAAAACTTGATTTCCAGGAGCTTTAACAGCCCAAGAATTACCAAGGTCATGGAAACAGCCCTTCTCAACTGTTCCTCCAGGCCAATTGTGATGTAGGGACATGGGATTTCCGGGTACTCAGGCTAAAACAATCTAAGAGATAGTCTATTCTGACTCACTGAAGATTTTCACTGAGATTTAGGCTACTGGACAACAGAAAAGATAATATTTTGTTACATGTTTTACTTTCTATGCGTCTGCATAAATCCACACTGGTTTCATACAAAAAAGCATCACAGAAAATATTTTGGTTTACTGGTCGAAATTAATTTCTTTCCGGTGCTGGTATATAAACCTTTGAAATACTGAGAGGTATATCATTCTTTCCTTCATTTAGGAAAGTAATCTTATGATAAAGGGGGCCTTTGGCCATGAACAAATCTCAGAGGACATCTGAGGTTTTGTTATAACCACAGTTCATTCTGCCCCACTTTCTGTTTCTCTAAAACAAAAGCGCAGTCTTCTGAGCGATCAGCCCCAAGACCCACCCTCGGCCGAGCAGAACTTTCCCTGCAGTTGTCACTGCTGGTGTGCATGGAGCAGTGAGAGTACAAGCACCAAAACTTACAAAATCGGAGGCAGCAGCTTGCGACAAAGTCTGAGAAGCAGTCTTTCAGCTCCTGCCAGTGAAGTGGTTACAGAAAGGCAGTGGAATGTGTCCGACAACAGTGCAAAGGAAGCTTCCTCTACACAACTGTAGTCCCCCAAGAGCCCAACATGACCAGCTTGGAGTAATCCTACGGACTTTTTACAATGTTGCATTATCAATCAATCAATTAATCAAATGTTGCATGATCATCAGTCTAGTTGCATAGAACAGATGGATACCAACACTCGGAATCAAGAAGCAGCTTGTGAATGCTGAATTCTGCATGAGAAGAAGTTTTAGGAGTGGTTTCAACTGCCGCCTGTTTCCTAACACCTCCTTTTCATGCAGGCATAGGAGAGATGCGTGGCGCGATACAGATGCATTTTTACTGAAATATCACATTGTACTCAATAAACATGCGTAGGAGATTTGTTTAAGTTACCAAAAATACCAGTTTATATATAAAAAAAATAAAAGCAGCTAACAACTTACGTCGGACTGCATGTACAAACGGCTTTAAGAACTTCACAATATAGTTCAGATCTGGCTTATGGATTCTGCCAAGCTGTATCAGGTGGTGATCTGCTGGGTGGCTGGCTAACTCCTCCAGGTCATATGTGGGTGTGGAGCCCAGAGAAATCACAAATATGACGTAGCCTTGGCACTTGGCCCTCAGTGCCACCTTTCTTACAAACTCCTGTTTCTCATGGTTCTCTCCAGCTGAGACCACAAATATCACCTTGTGCCTTCTTGAATGTGCTTCAGAAAAGAGGTTTTCCATGGTCCACATCAGGGCATGACCAATGGCGGCTTCTCCGTTTAGCTGTTGGAGGGAAGTCTGGATGTAGTCTTTCATTAGTGCTTGGTTGCTGTACATTGTAAAGTCAAACTCTGTTTTCACTGCAGTCTTATTTCTCCTGGACCTGCTCCAAGCGGGATAGCTTAGCAAAGCAACCCGATCACCAGAGTCTGAGACCAAAGGATCGGAAGCAATGTTGAAGTTGTCGATCATGAGGCTCACCATGTCTTTCAAAGCCTTGAACTCATCACTTGCTAGATTCCGAGAATTGTCAATGAGGAAGGCTACATCCATGTATGAATCTTCAGGCAAGAGAATTTCTCTGGCACAGGCATTCGCGAAACATTTATCTAGAAACACAGAGATGCATTATTGCTTCAATGTTGGTACACAACGTGCTCTGGTCTGAGATATACATCAAACGACTCACTGACGAATTACCAAGAATTCACAACCTCATCAGCCCTCCTCAGTCTCCCATCATTAAATGACTGAGGAATTCCCAACGTCCTGATATTGCTGTGGCCCCCAGCAGACAATCCAGGAAGATCTCTGTTGAAAGCAAATGTGGGTGGCATGAACAAGCCATTTTCAAACTCCTCTGGAAAAAAAATATTTTTAATACTTCTCAGGCTTTTGAAACAAGCTACCAAATCGTCCCCATCAGCTGAGATAATTTTCCAAACCAATTTGCACATATTATGGAAATTCCAAACACTGTGGGGACAGAAACTGACATATGGTGTTGGATAATTGGACAAACTGAAAATAGAAACTACAATCAAAAACAAAGTTAGGTTCCATAATTCATTCAGAAGACATTTCAGCTTTTCAGCACAGTAAGTTCTTCTTGTTTGTCTTACCATAGCAAAGCGTGCAGCGCTGAAGTCTTTCCAATGGTTCATATTCACCATTTGGAGGAACTGGAATCACCTGGAATGTTCCAGTGTCATCAAACTGCAACAAAAAAGAAGTGAGGGCTTGTTTGCTCACTTCCTTCAGCTATAAAGAAGCCATCACAACACACTTTTAAGGATTAATCTGGAAAACACTCATCTTTTAGTGGGTCTACACGTACATACACCATCCCCTTATCCTAGACACAGCCCAGGGCGGGTACTGCGGCAGAACTGTGAAGCTGCCACTTGTGAGATCAGTATTCCATTTCAGTCTCTGTTCAGGCCCCAACTATTCCGTTTCTGATCCAGCTTCTTGCTACTGTGCCTGGGAGGCAGCAAAAGATGGTCTAGGTACTTGAACTACTGCCACCCACGGGGAAGACCCACACGGAGTTCCAGCCCCCTGTCTTCTGCTTTGCCCAGCTTCGGCTAGTGCACACTGGGCATGAGGCAGCAGACAGAAGCTCTATCCTTTTCTCCCTGTCTCATGCTCCAGCTGCCATTGTAACTTTAAAATAAATTTTTAACTTAACATAAATTTAAAATACATTATTTTGAAAACTAAAGCAGACATAGAAAGGGAGAAGGGAGGTGGAGAGAGGGAGAGGACAAGAGGGAGGGAGACAGGAAGGGGGAGGAAGGAACTTCTCTACAGTTTTACAATTGTATTTTACAGATCACATGGCCTGTTAAAGACTACTTAAAATGTAAACAAAAAATTCCCCGGGGGAGGAGAGAACATCAACCCGTGGAAGCTGTAGACAGAAAGGGGCAGAACCTCTTTTGAGAAAAAACAGTCACAGGCATTGATTGCTTCACAACTTCAGCCGTTAAGGACTCTCCAACTTCATCTGCCACATCATCAATGAGCGATGGCAAGCAAGGGGCTGCCCTTTATGCTAGGCAAACCTGAGTTCCAAAGTCTGTCCAGCCACTGAGAAGCTGCACAAATTGGTTAAGTCACAGAAGCCTCTGGGCCTCCGTTCATCCAGTTTAACACAGAAACAACAAGTTTACTTCCATCCCAGGGCTGTGAAGATGAGGATTAGAGAAACTTCCTGGGCCCAGCCGTGCACACAGCACCTGCTGAGTCATCATCATGACTGTTGCTACAGTCAGGGATGGGTCACATGGGACTCCGAGAGAAAACAGCTGTGAAAAAGAGGCCACCTGCCTCCCAGATGACCACCTCCACCTCAACACCACCATCTGAAGAAGTCGCCCGTAGAAAGTCTTACCCTGAAGGCTTCATCAAGAAAACCTCTTTCATTGAAGGCAAAGACGGCAGGGCTAATGTCCAGGGCATTGAACTCCATGGTGGCTGTGATGATGGACGACCTACTGGTTGCGGCACCATTGCTGAAAAACACGGCCACTCTCCTCACGTTGGCTCCCGCTCTTGTTCTCTTGAAGACATGGCGGGCCACGTACCTCATGGCATGACCAATGTCACGGGCTTCTGTGGGGGCCTGGTATCTTATCTGGGAAAGAAACTGGAGAAGCTGCCGCTTGCTGTGGTAGTCAGACCCGCGGATGAGGTAGCTGACGTTGGAGTCATAGGACAACACGGTGACTTTGGCCCCTACTGGACAGTTACTTTCCCTAATGTTTAGGTCACTGATAATGGAAGCAATCATGTCCCTTGTCTCATTAAATCTCTGTTCTGTGATCCCAGAGGATTGGTCCAGGGCAAACACCAGTTCTGTTGGATATACTGGACACTTTCCTACAGAACAAAAATGTAGAAAGAGTGAAGTTATTACGTTTTCTGGGTCAAAACCTTCCCCAAACCCTTACCTTTGCCCCAGTGCAGCTAGTTCCTATGGAAGTGAAGCAAGCACATCCTGTAGAGCTACAACAGGGATGCTCCCCCGTAGAGAGTCGGGGGAACCTTTGATGGAAACTGGCAGGTGCTATGCAAGAGTACAGCATTACTTGAACACTGTCTTCACAGCCCTTAAGGAGTCTGCCATTCCAATGGAAACTGGTGGCCACTGAACATGAATTTTTTTTTATTGGTTGTACATTTTAAAAATGAATAAAAGAGAATAATAATGTATTGAATATTTCTGAAATAGGTTCTCCTCAGAAACCTTTGAAATGACATATTAATGGTAAAGTTGGAAGATTTCCATCCACTCATGCAAGATACTTACTGAGTACTCACCATGTTGAATGCAGTAATATACCTACATAGATATCCAGTGGAGGGCTGCCTGCAAAGGCATTGTATTGGGAAGGACCATTCCACTATGAGATATAATTATCCTTTTTTTGTAATTCTATTTATGTTGAACGAGATACATCAATCTCCCATCTGCTGGTTTACTTCCCAAAAGCCTACCACTTGGGGACTGGGCCAAACTGAACCTGGGGCTGGCAACTTACTCCAGGTTTCCCATAGGGATGGCAGCGTTCCCCCAACCTACATGTTAGCAGGAAGCTGGAGCACAGCCAGGACTCCAACCCAGGCATTCGAATATGGGATACAGGTGTTTCAAGCAGTGCCTTAACTGTTGCCTCAAATGCTAACTATTATTTTTGCTTAGATTTTGGGACAATGAGCCTGTTTTCAGAAAGGGAACTATCTTAGGGATTTCATGAGAGCTGAATTATAAGTGAAAGCCAAGATGGCAGGAGGCAGGGACAGCAAGGACCAGGGAAAGCATGCAGTAAGCTAACACAGCAATGGAACTGTCTGTAATTTTTATTCAATAGCCTCAGGAGGCCTCAGTTTTCAGTATTTCTTAGCAAATATTTTCTGCGTATCACCTAAGCCATCAATGTCCTTGTTAAAGTCTAACTGCAGGAAAAGAAAGTTATTTTTTAAAAAAATAAATAAATGTGTTATTTTCTTCTTCTTAGGTTGCCCCACTATCTTCCACCTGGCTAACTCTGAAAGCATTTTTAATTCAAAGTAAGCCAATCCCAACTCCCACTGTTAGTACGAGGCATAGGAACGTGTTAGAGATGTGCTCTAACTAAACAGATTTGAATGAGAAGAATCTTTCAAATAGAAAAGTTGGTAGTCAGCAAGAGAATGAGAAGCAGGAAGTTATTCCTCACTTTTTAGGGGTGTACTTAGATGGCAAGGAGGATGAGATGCACCTTCCAGACTGACCTGGTGCCACAATTCTTCTGGAAGGTAGAATATATTTCCATTTAATTCTTCTCCCCCAGGACCCAGCAGGGCATCTAATACATTTAGATGTAACCTAAAGCCATGAAGGCTTACTGAGTACTAGCCGTGTGCAAAGTGTTTTTGCAGAATTAAAGTAAAGGACTCCAAACTTAAGGACCAGCTTCAAGATCTTGAAGTTTGCTTGAGCTCCCAAGTTGAGGTTGACCCAACTGACATCACCACCCACATCCTCCAAAGGATCTGAGGATCCAGACAACACTGATAGCAGCCAGGCCATGGTGAGGCTCCCAGCAGGGCAAGGCTGGCAAGCAGGTGTCTGCTGGGGAGAAGGCCTCATTTCACATCTAGGAGGCCAGAGCCAATGGGGTCAGGCACAGACTGAGCAGTAGAGACCCCTAATCCCTGAACTCCTTGGCAACCCAAGGCCTGCTCTGTGGAGAAACTGCATTGTAAACTGGGACAGGGTCCAGAAAGACCGGTAAGTGTGAAGGGTGGGGTCACCCTTTCTGAGACTAACTCAAAAGAATCAAATGGATAGCCATTTTTGACTCCTGTACCATTAATGATCTGGTGACGATTTTAAAATTTATTTTCCATGAATGACATTGAACAGCTTTTCCTCTTTTGATTCTAGCCTGGCCTGTGTTCCTGTTGGACTACAGCCTTTTGCTTTTGATTTGTTGAACTATTTAATGAGGCTGTTAAGCCTTTGGCTATAACGTTAGCTTAAAACATCTAAAAAAACAGTCAAGACATTAAGTTAATCACGTTAGCAGTTACAGTCATAATGGAAAAACTGAAGTAGCTATAGAAAAGACAGTCCTATTTGCTTCAGGAGCGAGGGCTTCTTTCAAAATGTTCTTGTTGGAATACAGTAGTTATACAGGCAAGAAACACTGCAGCAGGAACACTCACCTTCCCAGCAAGCTATGAAAAGGGGGAGAGAGAGAGTTTGTTACTTTTTTGGGTGGATAGGGGAAACACAGGAAAAACAAAACTCAAACAAAGCCTAAGAACTCATTGACTAGTTTCCCATGAGGCTGACTCCTAAGGGACAGCAAGCCAAAGTTGAAGCGTTGAGACTCATGTCCACAGAACCTTCCTAACTTGCCGAGTAGTCTGATTTTCCCCTTGGGAGCTCCGGGCAGCCTGGGATATGAGCTGAATTTGGGCTGCATCCGAGACCTTGATCCCTTTTCTCAGAACAAACAAGGCTTTGGTGGAAGAGCAAGACAGCTGGAATAGAGGTTGGTCTGTCCCTGGGTAGCCTGCTCGAGGTCACCAGGCAAGCAAAGCTGCAATCAGAGCTCTTCCTTTCTTCCCTGACAAACAGCTGGGCAGCCTTGACTTTTCTGCAAAACCATGGCGGTGGGTGCGGGGGTTTCCAAACGAACTATGTGTGAAGACTACATACAGCTCCTCCATCTGAGCCATCGCCAGATTTGGAAAGACACAGCAGAGCTCCCCCCGGGGTAGGGGTGTCTGTTGGAACAAACAGCACCTACCTGCTTTCTACGCCTGATGTGCTCTCTAACCCCAAAGCCCACCAGGGTCCAGTGTGGACAAATCTTTAGGAACCCATGCGCCTGGCGTTTCCCATGTTTGGTTTCCTCGATTGCTTGGAAGCCAATGAGTCACCAGGAAGCAGAACGATTTTATGGGCACGGCCACACCGCTGCCCTCCCATCAGGCTTCCCGCCGGCACACACCACATGACCTGCTGGGAACTTTCGTCATTCTCAGTCTCACGGCCAGGGATGGGGCCCATCGCCCTCCCACGGCCCCACCCTCGGCTTCAAGCAGATCTCCATCCTGACCCAGGATTTGCACCTGCTGACCTCAAACCCCGCTGGGAGGCGGCGAGCACAGGCTCTGAAATCATGTCTGCTGGTGTGAGTCTGGGAGACTTTGGGGGAAATCATTTGACCTCTTGTGAGTTGTTCCTGCATCATCAGCACCATCATTATTAAACGTTCTTAAAAATCCTCTGGTGTCTCTAGAACACGAGGCATTTGGGCTCTCCTGTTTTACTCACAAGCCTCGCTGTCTTCCCTCCTCCACCTCCTAGATCTATTTTATTTTCAGGCGTGCAGTGGGGGAGGATCTGCTTGTTGCTATGCGGCAGAGCTGGTCAAGGATGGACGAGTGATCCGTGTCGGACCAGGGGTCCACCCTGCAGGAACCTGCTCATGGCATCCATGACACCAGGCTGTTGGAACTGGCTCTCAAGTCCTGCTGCTCAGCGACACGTCTATCCTTTAATTTCTAGAGTTCATTGCTGGCCATTCGGGACCCGTTCTGGTTACAGATCCTGCCTCCTGTCTCCCCAGATCCCCTAACAACCTGGTTAACTCCCTTCATCCAAGGTTGGAAGCCTCCCTTTACACCTCAAACCCTGCCAGGCTTCTCTTGCTCACTTCCCAGGTCCCTAACACCTGCCCCAGTCTTCCTTGTTGAAGAGACCCTGAGCGAGTTGGACCATGACTCTGTCTTGACCCCAATGGCTCTGACCTTCTGAGCCCAGATCCCTGTCCCAGCGCCTCACCCCTCCCTCTACGCTGGAGAACTTTACCACCCCTTAAGCACTGTCTTTCACAAAATCCCTCCCCAGAGGCTCCTCTCCATCAGACTCCCTCCTCTGGCCTTCTTCCAAGGCTCCTGCACCTGGTGGGCTTTCCCCGCCCCTGGACTGCCTGCTCTCCATGCTTTGGGCTTCTGCATCTGACTCCAGTGTCCCAAGATCAGAGGCTTCCTCTGACCCAATGGTTTGGAGGCTCTTCCTCACTGGTGTGTTCTGACATCAATATTTCAGAACACTCTCTGTCCCCTCTCATCACTGGTTACCTTCTGTTCAAGTCACTTAGAATCTACACAAAAGCACTCTACCCCGAAAATGTTATAATTCGGTTTCTTTTCCAATGAACTGATTTATTTTCAGTTTGTTGCTCTGCCTCCTTAGCCAGGTTGCTAGCTCTCCCCACGTCTGGGCTATTCACCCACGTCCTGTGTTCTTTTCTTGAAGTCCCTGTTTTAACCCTTCCCCTCAGGATAGCCTCTCTGATTCTCCCCTTTTACAATCTTCTGATTGTGATGGCCTGAAAATCCACAGTGGAAATCTAGGGGAGACAGATCATCTAAAATTCTACTACTCTAACAAGATATACCGTAACATTTTGCTCTTACATTTGCACTTTTAGGGCAAGAGATCTTCCAAAAGTTCATAGAAAATGTTAGGAAAAACTGCATGGATTTCAAGTTTTTCACTCCAATTAAGCTTATCTTGAAATTGCTTTCCCAAGAATTTTTAAAAATACTCCAGTGCTTGTTACACACATCTAAAAATAATGAACATTTCATTTCGTCTTTTGCTTCCATTTCCAATTTTTAAAAAATACTCTTGGTGACTCTTAATAAAACCTGTATCTGCTTGATATTTTATCAAAAGCTTATTCTATAAGTGCAAACAGTCCAAATGCATGTGCTTTTGCTCTAATGAGCAATATTTCAGCAATAATATTCACTGGCATAGTTTCCCACTATTGCTTCATTTCTTTAGGACAAAGTTGTCCGAAATGAACTCGCCATGCTTCTTGTCTTCATTCCTCCTTTCTTTCTAACCAAAGACATCATTAGTTTGGCTTTTCATGCCACTCTCCAGTATTTCCCCATAACCAGATTCACCTGCTTTCACCCAAGCAGCCTTCATTAACTACCAAGTTAACCAACTACCCCTACCCATTGCACATCAGGCCTTCCCAGTCTTTCTGCATGCAATAGTTGTACTAACAGAGGCTCACTGATGCACCTTTTGAGTTGGTCTTTGTTTCTCCCATGTGCGACTTCTCTCCCAGGATCCCTCACATCCAAAGCCAAAGCACTTGCTGCCCATGTCCTTTTTCTTTCATCTTTGATCTGAAACGTCCCTAACCAGGCATTCCAGGATTCCCCACCAGCCTACTGACCCCAGACTCCCAGCCTATCCTAGTCCTTTTGCCACCCACCAACACTCCTGCTTGGATACTCACCACTGTGGTCCCGCACAAACTGAATCAAGTCACACTGCTACAGGTGTTTAAGAGAGACAGAGAGAGAGAAAAGACACATGAGCACAGTGAGTTTCCAGAAACTACTTCCATCCTCACAGGCTGGTGAGGGCTTCTTTCAGGAGTGCAGAGATACGTACAGAATACACTGGCAGTCCCGCCATGCCTTTTGGACCCTAGGAAAACAAAAATAAAGCAGTTATTGGTATGTGACCTAGAATATCAGGCAACAAAACAAGAGAAAACAAAACAAAAAATGTTAAAATCAAAGCTGACTGAGTATTCTTGAACCTTGTGAACTGATTACAATGTACTGTAGTCTTACACAACCAGGAAGAAAACTTCTGGCTTCCATAATAGATCAAGTAAGCTAATGTATATTCAAAGTAAATTGAATTCTTAAAGAGTGGTGTAAAGTAAAGAAGTAGAAGTATTTCTTAAAGATAAGTGTATCAAAGATACAATGCTTAGAAAAGGGTATTACTTGTAGGGGTGCTTAAAATTACAGATGTCCTAAAAGGCAGTACTAAGGAGAAGAGGTGATTATTGAGAATTCAGAGGTAGAGTTAAATGACAAATCAAGGAGTTTAAATGTAGGAGGTAAGATATAACTGCTATCTATGCCAAAGAATCAAAGACAATTACATAGCACAGTGGGCATTTTCAAGGGAAAAGCATATACACTAAGCTCATAAAATTTGAGAGCTGTTAGAGGCAAGGAATGAAAATAATTGGTCTAGGTATGTCAGGGAAGACTTCCTGGAACAGTCAGCCCTACTGTCCCAGCAGTGTGGTATCGTTCTTTCCATCTTCTTACTCCATTTCATCAGAACCAGGTTTTTTCGCGGCAGTGGGTCTTAATGTGTTGGTATTCACAGGTCTCTTTGGGCAACTATAAAATGTTAGTATGCTCTCATCAAAAAAAATATGCTATCACCTGCCCACACTTGCACATTTTATTAATCTTCCAGAAGTTCAAACAAGGATGTCAGAACTGCTCTTCTAACTGACAAGGACATCAACTGTCCATCTGTTTGTCCATCCACCCACCCATCCATCCAGTAAGCAACCAACTGCAGACTGAATGCTGACGTGTCCTCTTGTGTCCTGCTGTGTTGACCAAGGGGTCAACATTCTACCCATTGAAGCATATTCTCTTTCTGGTCCCAAGCAGGAAACTGTATACCTCACTCAAAGATGCAGTCTTAGTCTTTCTTTATCACGACAGCAAAGAGAAACAAATGCATGCTACCTAGATAGAAAGGGCCAGTTTCTGTTCTTGAATTAAACAGGCCACTCCTATTTTTACTGAGGTTCAGACCCCAGGGGAGAACGTCCTGAAGAGGAAAGCTTAAGAGTTAACTTTGGGCAAGTTGTTAAGTGGAGGGAGAGAACCAAAAGTCTGGGGCAGGATAGTCCAATGCAGGCCAACAGGGTCACATACAAGACCAGAAAGATGGGACAATCTAAAACACAGTGCTAGAACCTGGAGAGAGGAAAGGAGTCTCGAGCAGACCACACTGACCTAGAGACTATATGCTCAACTCCATGATGGAACACTCAGGTATTCATGAATGCCAGAGAAAGCAAATATTGCAACTCAGCATCTTTTACAGTTCATTTGTTCTTGCTCTGCTACAGGGTCAGTCACAAACTAAGTCATTTATATTTTTGGTTGTCTTTTACAAAGCCCCAAACCCAAGACCATTTCCAGATGGTGCTGAGGATATACTCAGAATGCACGAGGCTGCCTAGGCCTCTTCCGCAACAAGCAGGTGCTGGACATATTCAGTCCTCTCCTGACCACTTGTTAGGAAAGAAAGTCATGTTAACCAAATGACTGCAAGATGGGAGGCAGTAAAACAGATTAATATTACGTCAGCGGGAGACATGTCTGGCTGTGTCTGTGAATGCTCTGAGGGTGACATTTCTTTGCCATGCAATCATAGTTGTGGTTACATTTCCCCATATCTCCAGAGTCTTAACTTGTGAGGATAGGACAGCAACAGTAGAGGTTTGGGGTTACCTCACTGACCCCTCTTGCATAGGGTGGCTCTGTGGTGTTTATGCAATCCTATCCCCAATGTAAAAGCTTCAATCTTAAATCATGGGAGGCGTTAACATGTGCATGGCACACTGCAGCTCACAGGGAATACTCACGTTGGATTAGCTCATCCTCACCACTCCCTTTAAAAACACACTGAGCTCTCGAGTGACTGACTCATGAGCATAGAGCTATTGAGAAGTGGAGTCCGAACCCGAACCCAGTGACTTACTTGTGCCCTTCCCACTGAACATACCAGAAGCCTGCACCTGCAGCAACTGCAGCTTCTGCGTATACTTACTCTCCGACCAGGGGGTCCTGGGGACCCTGGAGATCCTCTTCCGCCTTGCAAACCCACAGTGAGCTAGAGACAGGAACACACGTTAGTTTCAGCATCATCTATCCATGGGAACCATTCCATTTTTAGTGAGACAATGTAGTTTTTTTTTAAAGAGCATTTTTTTTAAAAAGGAGGCAGCTATTAATTCAAACCAGGTAAACTGCTTGCTTGTAACACAATCTGCTTATTCATAACCAATGGCAAAGATACATTTTCCTCCCAACATCTTCTTTTCGTGAACTATTTTGCTATGGCACTAGTTGTACATTTAAATATAAAAGAGTCATACACAGGGCCTGACACTAAAGAAAGAAAGGGGGAAAAAAAAGACCCACACCTACTAGGACACAGAGAGCTAATAAAGAACCCCTCAAATGCAGAAGATCAAACAGGAGGAATGACTCCCCATGTACAACAGGAGGCACAGGGGGCTAAATCATGGCCATGCCTCGGGGTGATGGGAGTGGGCGCTGAGGACACCCACGCAGCCGGACAGAAAGGTCCACACTGACAGCACACCATTCGGCAATGAAAGGGAAAGTGTGCTAGTCTCAGCATTTGGTTCTCAAATGAGCATGACATGCTACCCTGCACCTTGCTAATGAGGAGATCTCAATTGCTTTCTTAAGTACCCGGTGTCTCCAGGCCAGGCTCAGCATCCTAAGGGGAACATGTCAGATCTGCCTCTACACTGAGGGTGAATATTTCGGAACTGACTGAGTACGTAGCTCAGGAAATGCTGGGAGGCACCGACGATTCTCGAAACATCCAATCTCCGCATCTTTCAGAGAGTTCAGACTCGGAAAGTGACCTTTGCTGTTACTACATACAGCTGTCTTGTTACAGAATCAGGGGGCCGGAAGAATTGGGTTCAAGGTCACTCATCCTGAAAGTGCCATTTCAGACGCTGTCGGGCTGGGTCGATAATCCGCATTGATTATCACAGTACAAAGGCAGAGCCAGCAATACAAACAGTTATATTTGGGGGGGTTACGGGCCACTTACTGTTAGTCCCCGAAATCCTTTGGGGCCGGGTCCTCCAGGAACACCAGGATCACCAACTTCGCCCTGAAGATTCAGAGAGAAGATTCAAGATGTTAAGATACTTGTAAGAAAGAATAAAAAGAAAAAAAAAACTCTCTCCAAACCAAAATCAAATTATAACAATGACTTATATAGCAGTACAAGCCAATATACTAATTGCTTGTTTCCTATTGTTCGGAACTAGGCCACTGATACAGTTCGATATCTTCCATTTTCATTTTCTAATTAAACATTTATGTATAAATATCAATTTAATGAATACTCAGTTACCAAGAGTATCCAAAGAAAGTGCTTGAAGGCCAGGGAAAACACCCAATGTTTTGATTACCCAGAATACTAAATAATAGCTTACTTTCTCAATTCATGATTTACTTCTGAAAAGGTTTAAGGCAAATTAATCTTGACAGTTATTTATCAGTATGTTTACTCCACATTTATCATCAAATTGAAAAATGCTATTTCACATTTATCACTGAAATTGAAAATTTTATCTGGTAATTAGAAAAATCCATCTTTACAATGAGGACTCTTATTTCCTTTTCTAAGTACAGAAAAAGCCTCTTTTGGTTAGTCATCAATTAAAAACAGCTTTCTTTTAAAGATTTTTCTAAATTTTTAAGACAGCTACAGAGGAAAGGAAAGAGAAACACAAGGTCATTTCCAAAGAGAGTCATGCGCACGGTACCTTCTGCCCCATGTCTCCAGGGGGTCCTCGTGGGCCCTGCAACGTTCAGCAGAGAACAGGATCAACACTCTCCTCGGTATGAACATCTCCTCTATTGCTCAGATAAGGTTGCATTTTTTAAAAAAGTGTCCTATTTACCTTTGCTCCTTTCCGTCCCATGTCACCGTAACCCGGGGTGCCATCATCTCCCTGTAAACATACCAGAGTGTCTCACTTTCTCCAAAGCACAGATGCATTTCAGTCTATGCTGTTAGGAAGGCAACACTAGACGCCTGCACGTGGAGAGATGCTAATGAGGACCCTGCCTGTTACCAGGTTCTCCTCACTTCCTGATACTTCCCAGGGACAATGGGCAGCTTTACTGGGGATGCGTGGCAGGAAGTTGAGAGCTGGCCATTTAGGACAGGCGGAGTCCATGGAAAATTAGGAGCTGATCCAAAGAATATGAGGGAAGAATTCCCACAGAGGATTACATGGCCGTCAGACATAAAGGCGGAAAGTGCCGATTCCCACTAGCAACCAAAGCAATGTGACTTAAAACAGTCATGAGGTACTTCTTCTGTCAATAGTAATGACAGGAAAAAAAGTGACAATGCCCTTAATTGGTGTGGATGCCTGAAAACAAGTACTCTGCTATACCACACAGGGATCTGGATGTTGACAGAATTTTCTGCAGAGTACTTCATAAGAGAGTTCAACGCCTCAACCATGTACATGCTTTTTCAACCTACTACGTGACTTCTAGAAATTGCTATGCAGACATGATGGCTGTAGCTAAGTAGAGGAATGTGTACAGCTGTGCTGTTTATGATGCTGGAAACTGAAAGTAATATCAATAAATCAGTTCTATAATAAATATAATAATAGATAATATAATAAACAAGGGACACAATAGATTATTTCAACTTATTCCCCCACTTTAACTAAAATTTTATATCCTTTACCCAAAGCTTTCCTCATGGCCCAGCCTCAGTCTGTGATAAGTACGCTTCCACTCTGTATTTCTGAGTTTGATTGCTTTATATCACACATGTAAATTAGATCACGTAGTTCAGTATTCGTCACGTTATGCCTTGCTGATGTCACTGCACATAAATTCCCTCCAAGTTCATCCACCTTTTCGCAAATGACAGGACCTCCTTCTTTTCAAAGACCGTAAAGCACCGCATTGAGAACACAGACCACATTTTCTGCATTCATTTATCTGAGGAAGGACATAGGTTGGTGCCGTATCTTGGTCATCATGAAAATGTCTAGTAAATTTTCCATAGTATTTGTACATTGGAGTTGTAATAAACATAGTATCTTATAAAGGAATACAGTAAGTGTCCCTGTGTTGACTGTTCCATAAGCTGAGATCTCGGCACAGTCAGAGAGAGTGTAGACAGAAGAAGGAATATACCGTTTCTTGGTCCTACCCTCATCTCCTATTGTCAACCTAGAGTTTTGTGAGGAGGGAGAGAAATGAGCAATGTTGTTTTTTAATGACACGTGTCTATATGGCCCTACAGGTTCTGAAAACCATGAGACATTCTATTATCTCGTGCCTCCTCAGCTGCCCCGGTTGTTCTGCTTCACTTCATTGGGCAGGACAACTAGAGGGTGGGAACGGTGGGACTAACAGAAAAGTCCCCACATCTTCCTGGGAGCTGAACTCCTTCCACACCCAGATGCTGAGGCCCCTTATCCTGCCGGAACCAGTGCTCAGGTCAGGGCAGGGGGAGGGTTGCAAGCCACCTACCTGTCTTCCTCGCTGTCCAGTTGGGCCCACTGGTCCTTGGACTCCAGGAACTCCAGGCTCTCCCTAGTAGATGGAACAAGTAGAATTTGAGATCTGTAAAATCAAACTCAATTCTCGAGATAGGAAGTTCTGTCCACAGGATGGGGAGATGGGGGGCTTTAAGAGGGTGTCAGTGCTTAGCAAGAGGATAGGTGGCGGGCACAATAAAAAGTTTCCCAAGGGCAAACAGGTAACATGCAGCAGAGGCCAGCAGGATGCTCGAGCAAGGCTTATCAGAGCATTGAAAAGGAGTGAAGGAGAAAGCAGAGTGGGAAATTCACTCCAGGGAAGTAATCTGCACTAGCTGGTGGATTTGTCCATCCCACAATGATTTCCTGTCCTAGAGAATAAACTATCGATGTGACAGACGTGGTCCTGACCTTACAAACCTAGTCTTCAGGGAAGAGAAACAACCAAGACGGGCAATTATGATCAAGTTCAGGGGGCTGCAGAAGTAAAGGGCAGAAGACTCAATCAGACTTGGTGGGCTCACAGGAGAGGAGCAAGGGGCTGAGCCCTGAGGGATACAGGCTGGAGAAGGAGGGAGGGAAGGGTGGAGGGAGCCAGATAGAGGGGACGCCCTGGAGCGACTTCAGTATAGGTGCAGTCAATAGCGTGCCTGTCCTTTCAGAAGACTGAAGACACTGTCAGTGAATCCCAGATCTACAATCAGTGCTGGTAACTACAGCCACTGAGCTACACATGGGCTCCTCCGAACTTACTGTGTTCATAAATACCTTAAGGTTTTAAGACTTCTCTTGAGATGGAATACATAATTTTCTGAGCTCAGTGTGATATGAAAACTTAGATCCCTTGCTCAAAAATTCAGCTTCAAGACTGACAGCAGGGCAGTAAGCCAAGCAGGGAGCGTCTCAGTTAGGCCCCCTTGGCACCGCACTGGTCCCAGGTCCTGGAAGAGGGGGCCACTGAGAGCCTTTACGCAGAAGAACTGGGCACTTATGCGAGCCACTTCGTGCTTTCCGATCCCGTTCACCCACACAGAGTTAGGAAATTGCATACCCCAGTGCACGTGCGTCTTGCTGCCCCCGGGGGCATTTCTGCATTGAGCGATTCAAGGGTGAAGAGGACTGCCCAAAACTGTTTCAGGACGGGTGGGATCTCCTGAGAGGGGGCAGCTGCTGGGCAAGGCTGGCCATTCTAAATCCTTTGCTCAGTGGATGGAAGATAACTTGAACAGGGTACTTGGAAAAGCTCATGGAAATACATGTCATGAAAAAAAAAAACCTACACAAGGTTGTCAAAAATACTTTTCATCAAAATACTGATCTTTCGATTCCTTTTTGCAATGACCTCCGTTGAAGGACCTGGAGGACATTAACAGCATGTCTGACTTGTTGCTGGGGGCTTGGATTCAATCACAAGAAAATCTGCAAGATAATGGGAGAGCACTTTAGCCCTCAGCATCTGAAATCCATGAGAAATATAGTATGTACCTTCTTCCCCCAAAGTCCAGGTCGTCCGGTGCTTCCTTTAGGTCCCGCCAGCCCAGGCAAACCCTGAAAGGAAATGGGAGAAGCAGAAGGTAGCAGCGCAGCAATCCTTAGAAAATGCATTAGGAGTATCTCACTTTTATTTACATCACTTATAACAATAACTCGATGCCTCCTTAACTGAAGACCTGGTCTCCCTGGACAGACAGACAGGGCTGAGCCCAACGACCCAGGTCCAGCCCTCCCTGGAGGACCATATAGGTCTCCATCCACAGGGACATGACTAGCCCCCACAGGACCATAAATAGCAAAAGCACCCTGGACACATGTGTTTCCAGACCTGGGAAATCTGCTCTGGTATGCACCGATTGTTACATGTTGTTGCCCTCCCCGAGCCTCACAGTATGAGCACCAACACCATGCAGTGGCAGCTGTAGTTCCCCAGCCTCACAACGCGCCAAAGTGTCTTCCACACACATGGAAAGTTGAGAACCGAACTAACGCAGGCCATCCCTCCCCCTTTGTAGAGAATGGAGCAGATTCAGAAAACACTCTGCAACAATCTCTCACCAGCTAAACTCTCTACTCACTCAGCAAATAGATTCAGAAATCAAGAGCTGACTTGAGAACTCAAATGGATCTGGGCACTGGGAAACCTGTGTGGTCAGCTTCAAATATCTACAGCCAGCAGAGACAGAAGTGAATAGCCATAGATACATTTTATCTTATTTTTAGTCAGGTTTATTTTATTTATTTGAAAGGCAGAGCAACAGAGAAGTGAGGCACGGAGGGAAAGAGAGATACATTTTACCCACTAGGTCACTCTCCAAACAACCACAACAGCCAGCATTGCACCAGGCCAAAACTGGGAGCCTGGATTTCCATTCAGGTCTCCCACATGGGAAGCAGGATTTCAAGCACTTGGGACATAATCCACTGCTTTTCAAGGAGTGCTTGCAGGCAGCTGGCAGGAACTGGAGGAGCCAGGACTTGAAGTGATTCTGACATGGCTTAACCCGCCATGCCATAACGTTGGCCCTCTAGATATTTTTTAAAAGCTAGGAAAAGCAGGATGATGCAGCAGGTTTGGGAGAAAATATTCAACATGACTCAGCAGTATTTGCATTATTCCAAATGCTTCCTTAGGATTGATGAAGTGGGTCTGTGCTTTGAAACCAAAGCCTTAGGGAGGGAGGAACACGAAGGCTTTTGTTAAGTATTAGGAGTCTGAGCTGTGCCACAGATTTGCTACCAAATAATCCAAGAAGGAAATAACCCATATGCAGGTAATGCAAACTATCTATGGGGATGTTTTGTGTAAGAGGAAAATGAAGATTGGGAGCCACTGATCCGGGCATCACAGAATCACCCACTCACCTGTGGTCCTTTGTGGCCCTGGCTGCCCTCTTCTCCTTTTGTTCCAGGACTTCCGCTTGACCCCTTTGTGGCAACCAAACACACACACAATGCAATGACATTAATGAAGAGGGATGTTCTTGGGCTGTGATTCTGAAACACTCCCATAAGAAAAGCAGCCACCCAAACCTTCACCCGGCCTGTGAACTTTGAGCACGAGTGTAAGTTAGGGGAGCCTTGAGGACTCTCAGGCAGCCACAGTGGTATAACCTACTAAAGAGCTCTCCACAGGGGCGTTAAGGTCTGCATCCCTCTCTTATTTGGGGAAATAAAAATAGACCAGAGGCAGATGGAAAGCCACAGAGAAAGAAGGCAAGTGAACTTTTGATGGGGTTGGCTTCCTAGGCCATGGTGGTAATCAATGTGTAGAATGGACATCAAAAAATTTTCAAATAGCAAAAAAAAAAAAAAGACATTTAGCCAGAAGCACCTATTTAAGGAACCAAAAGAGATTTTTCCTCCCCTGTTTGTCATCAGATGTGTGTTCTATTTCTAGAAAAAATAAATAGTGGGGTCAATACTGCAATACTGTCAATGAATCACAAGTCATCAACTGTAAAATCGTTGCTGGGGTCCCCAGAAGGCCCCATGTGGGGCATGAGTCACCGGCTCAGTACCAAAGGGGCCCTGGAGTAACTCTCATCTCACCCCTAAACATGTTGGGATGGATCTGTTTCTTTGGCCACTCCATCTGGAGACCCTGCCAGCTTACAGATGAAGCCAGAGAAGTCTGAATCATCCATGAGAATCCCAAAGTCCAGTCTAGGATGAAAGATGTGGAACTTTCTAAGAGGAAAATGAACTCCTGGGAAGGTCTTAGAAGAGGCTCATCCACACAGATCTTCCAGACAAGTCCAGGCTTAAAGTGAGCTCCACAAAGGGCTTAAATACCCATGTATTACCAAGCCACATGAGGATGACCACGTCTTCCTTCTGGTGTGAAACACAGCGAAACAGGGATGCCCTGACTCTGATGTTTGTGTTACTCCTGATGTGACCATGAAAAACACAAATGGCTCATGCCAAGCCAGGTCATCGATAATTCCAGAAATACTGTCCCTCTGTTTGCTTGAGGTAAGCCAGATTACAGCGTCTACCTCCTACATATTATTCCTTTTTGGGAGTCAGTGTGCACTTCAGTTTGGGAAAAACAAATGGTCAACCCAGATAGGCATTACTAATCTCCTCGAAAGGCATTAATAATCACTTATTGCCAACACGCAGGTGCAAAGCCAGGTGAGCACAAGAGCACATGTTTGCTCTCCAAAGATTGTTCACAAGTTGCAAACATCAGGACAGATTGTGGGAAATACAGAAAGTTAAAGGGGACCAGATGAGCAATTCCTCAGTTCCTTATCTGCATATGGAACTACTTGCCTTCTTTCCATCAGAACAACTCCATGTTATCTTCTAATATTTGTGAAGCATTCCAACTCACCTGTGGGCCCTGTAATCCTGCAGCTCCCTGCATCCCTTGTGGTCCAAGACTTCCTGGCACCCCCTGATAGACAAGAGTTTTAGGCATTAAGATGTTCTCCAGTGGTTTCCAATGGAGTACTTACCTGGGGACCATTGGGGGAGTCATGGCTCATTCCGATTTTGCCTAGGATTTTACTCTTCCTGTCTGCACATAAGCTTGCTCCTTTCCCTAATAAAGAACTTCACTCTCTCCTGGTGAATCCCCAGTGCACATGACAAGCAGTCCAGTGCACAGTATCTGGAATTGCACAGGCTAGGCTAATCTCCAACCCATCTGTGCAGGTGTGTGGGCTGGTGCTCAGGCCTGAACTGTTCCTGGCAGCTGAACTGCTGGGTGTCTATGTCTCCCGCTAGTCAGTGGGGACCATGTGCAGTCCTGAGCACTGCCTACCACACCCTGCTCGTGTGCTCATATGCACAGGCAAGAGTTCCTTGTGCTCACCTACCCCAGGGACAGGATGGAAAGGACACTCACCACGGCACCTTGCAGCCCTCTCCGTCCTTCTCTTCCCTGGAACAGAAAAGGCAACATGTTAGTGCACGGCAGAAGGATTTCTTGTGGCAGACCAGTCGCTCGCATTCTCTGGCATGAGTAAAGAGCAGCTCACAGGAGGGTTTCCAGAGGCACTTTCCTTAGATACGTCTTCCCACTGGGCACTTAATTACAGACTAACATAGGGAGACTAATTGTGAACCAATCCCAAAGTCACTTAAGCTCTGATAGCCTCTTTGGAGATGTAAATCAACTGCAAGACCCTGACTTCTCAAGTCCTCTGCAGCAAATCCACGGAGCATGACCTGCCGACAGAGGTGTCCCAGGAGCAGGAGCTCTGTCACTTCCTTCTGTCTCTGTCCTGCGACCATGATTATTTCTCAGGGAAAGTAAACAATTTCTAGAACCTACTAGGGTTTGCATCTGCGGAATTCTGCAGTCCTATAATTACTCTAAGATCTGTTCAGTGAGAGGGGGAAGAAATGCAACCACCAGCTTCCTCCCAGAAAAGTGTGGCTACTCCCTGTTCACATCTCTGTCAGTCTCTCACTCTCTAGGTGCCAACTCAAGCTGCCAGCTCAGCCTACAGGCTGTTTTTGCCACACCCTGTCCTTTCACATCACAGCCAAGAGGGAAGACCAGCTGGGCCCTAACTAAGCCTGATGAAATCCACAGCCTTTCATTTCTTACCCCAACCTTGTGCCATCCTTGCAAAGAGGTGTGAGACACCTCAACCAGCCATTCCTTTTGTGTGGTGATAAATAACTATGATAACATTAGGTACAAAACAAATGCTTTAAATTACATTCATTCACCACAATCCAGTTCCCCCACTAATGCACCTGGAAAAGCAGCAGAAGATGGCCTAAGTGCTTGGGCTCCTGCACCCAGATGGAAGACCTGGAAGAAGCTCCTGGTTCCTGGTTTTGGACCAGCCCAGCTCTGGTCATTGTAGCCATTTGGAAATTGAACCAGTGGTTGGTTCACTCTCGGTTTTTCTCCCTCTCTCTCTGTCTTTTTCTCTATAATGCTGCCTTTCAAATAGATAAAATAAATCTTAAAAAAAAAAAACTCTAAAATGTAAACAGCCTTCGGGAGAAGTAAGTCATGGTGACAGTCAGGAGCTTACACCTGGATGTGCCTCCTCAACTTGCCTGACACACAAAAGTGAGAGAGAAAATAGCTGGAGACCAGGGTTACTGTCTCTGTGTCCAAGTGAGGATACAACACTGCTTCTTCTATGTAACAGACAGAATTGCACAACATCAGAGATGCTTCGTCAGAAGTCAAGCGGCCTTAGGCTCAGTCAGCTCTGCCCTTCCATGCCTGAGTAGCAATCAGGATGGGCAGGAATCCAGATTTGGGTGACAGTGAGTTCAAATTCCAGCTCTCCTACTCACGAGCTCCAGTGGATGACCCTGGACAGCCTGGCTAAGGGTTCTTTGACTTTCTCATCTATAAAATGAAGGATGTGAGAGCATCTGTCTCACACATATATCACGAAGATTAAATGAGTTAGTATTTGATAGTGCTTTGGTTAGAATTTGGGAAGAAGTTAATGCTGAGAAAGTATCTTCCCTTTGTGTGTGCCAGGCCAGAGGCCAAGGACCTGGCACGTGGGTATCAGATGTTAATCTACTGTTTCCACAACAGCCAGCATAACAATTAAAAATTTGTGCAGCAGGAGGCAAGATCATTTAACTCATCTTGCTGCTTCCTTTTTCATACTAACACATGTTCATTCTCTGCTGTGAAGAGGAAGGCAAAGTCCCAGAAGATTCCACCAGAAGCAACTGGGAAACCCAGGCCCTGACAGTTCCGACCCCGAAGACTGTAATTCAAAATAAACAAACACACTTCTGTATCTATGACACCAAGATAATCCGCCCAGACTTCTCCATGATAAGAGTCCAAGCTGGTAATTAAAAAGGAAAGCCAAGAAGTTTTAGCTCCCTCGTGAACAAAACTCGGGGCCAAGCTAGGGCTTGTGCATGACTGTGTGATGGAAGAGCGTCTAACACATCATGAATATTGTCTCTTGAACTGTCTTCAGTAGTCAACAATGAAAAGGGCGATCTCTTGGCTCCTTAAAACAATGGGTAAATCCAGTATCCCCATGTTCGTCTGTGATAGGTTTAGTATCACATTTGATGCTAAAAGTTGCCCTAGGACCCCAAGGTCCCCTCTGAGACGGCCCCAACTGCCACTGTTTTGGCCCCTTCTACAAGAATGGACTCAGCTTCCTCTTTCCCATCACAACATGGAAAGGGAGTGCTTTTCCCCAGTTTGGAACATTCTCCTACAGCTTCAAGATGTGCAGCTGCCAAAGAAGTGCATGTGTAAAGTCAACCATGGGCTCTCCCGAGGGCATTCAAAGCCGCTGGAAGTGGAAGGAAAGGCTGGCGGCATCACTGGCGGCTCCTGACTAGGGACTATTTTGGCCCCCAACTCCTACAAAACCCCTGCAAACATCTGGTAACCTCTGGAGACCTTTTTTTTTTTTAATATCAGTCATGGGCAATGGAAGAATGGTGTTACTGAGGCCCTGTGGGCAGGAGCTAGAGGGCTATGAAACATCCTACAAGGCCCAGGGAAGTCCTGCACAACACAGAATTATTTGTCCCAAAATGTCATCAGTGCCAATTCACCAGGCTGCACAGCAGTGACTCTTTGAGACACACGTGGGATATTTCCAAGCGACAGGGAAGGAATATGAGCACCCAGGGGCATCCTTACCTCGCTTCCTTGGGAACTAGGGCTGCCAGGCATCCCTTTCAGTCCAGCTCTACCCTGGAAGGTAAGAGGGTCCCCAGATCAGCAAGCAAAAAGGTCTGAACACATCACAAAGGTATTGGCATCAAAGCTCGAAACATTGAGAAAACAGCAGACTGCATATGTAATGCAAAACTCATTCGCATACTAATGACATCAACTTTACTCTCATTAAAGAAAAATCAGTTACAGCAGCCTGCAGAGCTGTTTACTTTTTCTAAAAAAAATAATTTCCATAACTTTAATCACTTCACATATACAGATAAAGCTGCCAAAGGGACACCTTTAAGAAAACATGACTTAATAAAATACAGATAGGTGTATGCGTTCGATCACAGAAAGGCTATATAGATTATTGATTTTACTTGCTTATCAATAGGATTAATCAGCTCATGTAAAATAGATCCATTACTTGTCTTCCTTGTCCTCCTTTGGAGCCCTTTAGTCCTTTGATGTTACTGGCTTGTCCTGGGTTACCCTAGAGGAAAAGTTTGAACATATTTAAAACTCAGAAATATCAGCCTTCTCTTGCAAAACACAGATGCTCAAGCAGAAAGCTAATTTGGGTCATGAAGGAGAGATGTGAGAAAATCTCCACATCTGAAACTCATGAGATTTTTTTTCCTTAAAAAAAAAGTGGAAGCAATAAATTGCAATCCCAAGTTTGCAGAAGATTTTGTTTAAAGCTTAAAAAGTTGGCGATACACAATTGCATGAGTGCTTGCTGCATTCCTCTAAGTTGAACTCCACCAATGCACCAGTCCATAGATTCTTAGGCCCCTCCCTGAAAGATGCAACAGCAGGGACTCTGCTAGACAGAAATTCTAACAAAGAAAACTATGAACATTTTCCCTTCCAACCCCTGGAAAGTCTCAGCACACTACAAGAATTCTTAAGATGCAACTTGACTTCCTGGAACTGATTTGGTAATGCACCCAGTCATATAAGACACCAAGTTACCCCTGAGAGGTCTCCCTCAGCACCTACTGCCCCATACCAAGGACGAGCACCTGCCCGCAGGTTAGCAGCAGGCACAGGGATGTGGGTTGAGAAAAGTCCGAGCCAACTGGGCCCAGCAACTTACAGGATCCCCTCGGAAGCCCTTTCCTCCATTTGCCCCAGGGGGACCTCTGGAACCTGGGCTGCCCTGGAAAAAAAAAAAAGAAAGAAAGAAAGAAAAATTAAATGAACCTTCTGAGTAAGCTTGCTAGAGGCCTTCACAATGCCACTGTTGTAAATCAAGTGCAGTGTATGTGGGGAAGGGCAACTTTGGGTACCCTTTGGGTAACTCTAAGTCTGGGTTCAAGCTGATGGTCTGGGGGGGGTTCTCTATAGTGAGAGGCTGAAAAACGGGGGGCTCAGGGGGAATCTCCCATGGTCTAGAGGGCACTGTCCAATAGGACTTTCTGCTACGGTGAAGATGCTCTGTCTCTGCACTGTCTAGGTGACAGCCACTACCCACATATGAGCACTTAAAAGGGAGCCAGTGCAACTGAGGAGAAGAAAAAAATTATTATTTTAACTCATTCAAGTCTAAATTTAAGTAATCATATGTGGCTAGTAGTTGCTGCAGCATATGTCCCAGGCCAAATTAGCAACTTCAAAGATGTCCATAGTTCAGTTTCCTATTAGAAACCATCACAGGGCTGTTCCAATGCCACCTGCCACCGAACTCTGCCCCAATTCAAATTGCTCAAACCAAAAGCCTGCTGGGCACGTTGACTGACCCTTTGTCCTGCTCCTCTGGTCCCCCTGAGCCAGGGCAGGGGAGAGGCACCTGGGCTGCAGAATGGAGGGAGGCAGGGACTGTGTGCCATCCTCAGAGCGAGTGCCCCCTGTGTACCCAGGGGCCTTCTGGCTCAGCCGTGCCAGCCCTATCTGGTCCTGCGTCTGTTCTCACTGCTGCTGCTTTTCCACAAGTCCTTACCACTTCTCACCTCCATCAGGACAGATGGCCCCTACCTTTGGCCTCACGTCCATACTACCTCCAACACATCCAACAAGCTATCGCCCAAATGCCTCAACTGCAAGTTGGACTGTGATCCTGTTGCCTCGACTCTTCCAGAAGGTTGACTGTCCACCCCCTCCCCCTGGCTCCCTGGTGTAACTGATCACGTGATGTACCTCCTGTCCCTCCCACCTGTGCTCTTGTGCTCCCTCTAGGCAGAACAGCTTGCACTGGATGTCCTTCCCCCGCTCCAAAACATTCCCCCACTTCTCTGTGTCACCAGTGCCTTTTCAAGCGCAGTTCAGGGATCATTTCCTCCAGCAACATTCCGGAACAGGCTTCAACACCCCTCTGGCTGGCAGGGAGCCTTCTCTGCACTCCCATGCGGATGCCTACAAGATGGCCCCAATCTCATCCGGTGTAATTGCATTCTGCTGATGTATTTGCCTCGCTCCGAGAGGTCCTTCAGCACAAGGGCTGTGTGGTCACCCTGGGCGGTAAGCAAGTAAACTCAATGCCTACACATGAGAGCTGAGCTGCTGAGAGTAAAGCAGGTGTCCATTACTGGGCACTGAGATGACTTTAAGGTCAAAAATATTTTGTTGTGATGTATAACGCCATGGTCACCCAAATCATTCTCTCTCTCTCTCTCTCTCTCTCTCTCTCTCTCACTCTCTCTCTTTCTCTCTCTCATGCCATGAAAAAAACATGCCAAAGCTCCTGATGGGTAAAGAACTTCTTTTTCAGATATCTGAGGGATGCACCCACATGACAGCTGGGAATTTTTCCAGCTGGCAAGTCTTGAATGTCACCCGCTTTCCCGCAGTGGTAGGAGACCTCTGGTCTGTGGTGAGAGAGGCCTGTGTTTAAGACAGCAGCCCCTTGTATCTTCCAGAACTGGGGGCATGGAGCACTCAAGACTGTCACCAATGTGCTGAGCAGGTTACCTGAAAGCCAAGCTCTCCTTTCTCTCCCTTTTCTCCAGGAAATCCACGAACGCCCTGTAAGAAAAAGAGGCAAACAAGATTCCAGTGAACACACGTACATGCGTAACACATGTGTGTGCGTGCAGGGGCCTCAGGGTGGCTTTGTGGTGCTGTGGGAACAGCGCCCTTACCTCCTCCCCATCCAGGCCGTCCAGCCCATTCTCTCCGTGTTCTCCCTAAGGGGCAGCGAGAGGCAGCAGTCAGTAAAGAAGCCTTCTCCAGCAGGCAAACCAGTCCCACCAAGAAACCAAACCTGACTGCATGAAACAACCCGTACCTTCTGTCCAGAGAATCCTTTGGCTCCCTGAAAAAGAAGGAATCTCTCTCACAGCGGTGTCCAAGGAGGGTGTGGATGGGCAGGCAGGGACAGCAGACAGGGGCCATGCCCCAAAGCAAGGATGTATTTGTGATGCCACTGTCACCTCATACCCACAAAGAAGCTACAGAAGGGATTAAACTGCTGCTCAGAGATGCCTAAAGATGATTAAGAAGCAGGACCAGCCTGTAGACAAACCAGTTGCCAGAGAGAGTAAGCACAGAGGCAGGCTGGCACAGAGAAGGAGAGCAGGTCAGCGAAACTGAAGGCAGCACTGCCCAGCGAATCTCACCTTCTGGCCCCGCTCCCCTTGGCAGCCTGCAATCCCTTTGTCTCCTGGGAGTCCAGTGTCCCCTCGCCTGCCCTAAATAAAGGAACACAAACAGGTTTTCAAAGTTGTCCCTTGCCAGGAGCTGCCAGCAGCCCATGGTTAAAGACTCCAACAAAGGCCTCAGACACATCCCGCTTTCCTGGAGAGCAATATTCCCACAAGCCTGTTCACTGGAATGTATTTCCCATGTCTGGAATGTACAAGCTCCCTGTCAACCTTCAGGCTTCCCACGAAGGCCCAAAGCTGCAGAAAGCCCGGCTGCACTCTCTCACCTGCCCCAGCAGCCCAAGTTCAGAGACGGTTTCCCTTTCTAGCCACATTCCAGACACTTGGTAGTCCCCACCGACCCTATCAGCTGGCCCGGGGCTCTAGTGCTGTGCTGGGGAAATGTCAGCCTTACTGACGGGAGGGAATAAGCTGGTGGCAGGGCCCGGAGCTGGATGGAAACAGCCAATGAGGCTGGCACCACCACAAGGAGAATGGCAAGGGGAGATGAACCCATTCCCCAGGACGAAGATCTCTGACGTCAAGCCACTCAAACAGTGAAGGGTACTCTAGGTCAGCAGAGTGTCTTCCACCAGCCCTGCTTCTCCAGGTAAATATTTAAACACAGGCGAACAAGACAGTAAATGAATGACCAGAGGCCAATTCCGTGCCACTTGGGGGCAGGTCTCTTTTGCTCTATCACTCACGTTCACTGGGCTAGCTCAGGCTTGTGCATTCCGTGGGTACTCATAATTTGTGCATGGGTACACAATTGCTTGGCTGTGAGCTTAATGCTCTTCTGGCTGCTGGGAGAGGTGAGAAGTGACTTTCCTTTTTCTCTGAGTTGCTTTCCTTCTTTTGGCGAGGCCTTGCCCACAGGCGTGGGCTGCCCACTACCTGGACTCTCACAGCCAGACATTAGGGCGACATCACCCCAAATCTCAGAGCCCGCCTGTGCTGGCCTGGTAGTCTCTGAGGTGGGTGACTGAGAACACGGCCTTAGTGGGTACTTTGTAAGCTACAAAGGCCTGGAGAAATGTACAGATGTGTTCACTGAGGGCCAAGAAGCCACATTTTTTTGTTCCAGCTCTCAGATCTACACCTACCCTTGGCAGTCTGATCCTGCACCTGGGCTCATTATAATTTACTGCTCAGAGGATCTGGTGCCTTGATTCTAAGGAGACACAGGTCTACTCTGGAAATTTCCTAAATTTTTTTCCCATCCCAAATGGAGCCGTTAAGAGTCTAGTTCCTCCATGCTTATTCTCATTATTGGATTTCTGAACCACTAGAGTTCTGGGTTTAGGGTCAAGCACTCAGATCCCCAAACTTCTGTGCAGCATTCAGCCCCCAAAAGCTATGCCTTGGGAATCCACTTTGGAGGCCTGCGTGCTGCAGCTCTGCACCACAGCCATGAACTAACAAGGAGTTGCAGGTGTAAGGCGAGATCCCTAGCAGAACTGCTTGGGGAAAGGAAGCCCAACTCCTGTGTTAGTCCACATGTGTGTAGGCCCAACCCTTCCTCTCCCCACATGCAGACTTAACAGATGCTTCATGATTCAGACAAGGAAAAACAAAAGTGAAATTTTCCCCAATATTCAATAAATAAGCAAATTAGCATCCGTGTGAAAATAAAACTTTGCACGAAAAAGAAAATCCTTAAGGCACCAGCGGGGAGAGTTCAGAAACTTACAGGATCTCCATCCTCGCCCCTGTGGCCTCTGTTGCCCTTCAGGCCTGTAGAACCCTGGAGGAAAGAGAGAAACCAACTTCAGTGACCGCCCAGAACTCAAGCCTGAAGGCACAGGCGTCTGGGGAAGCCCTCCTGCAACACGCGGGACTTGCTACAGGTGTGGCTGTGAGTCGGGTGGAGTCTGCCAGCCCCCGGGGCGGGCTCCTGCCTGCAGCAGGCGGCCATTCCGGTGACCATGGCATTTGCCCCTCACCAGGATGGTCATGGGGTTGCTACTGTGTCTGAGGGATCTGTAGGGGAGACAAATTTTTTTTTAGCAGGCTAAGCAATGACACTTCCAGAGACAGCATTTTATTTTTTGTGATGTTTTCGAGGGCCCAAGCAAGAACAGGCACTTGTGACAACAAGGCTGCACATGTGTAAACGACAGATCTCTCCCACTCAGCTGTGGTGGTTTAGCTGCTTCATGCCTTACTAGGGGTGAAAGTTTACCTCCACTTGCTTTTCCTACCCTCTATCCAGAGCCGGGCTGACTGCTCAGTCCAACAGGCAGGCTCAGCTCCTAAACTGTAATTCTCACACTGACCTGAACCAGGCAATGAGAGAGGAGACTGTGCTAAAGAAAGTGCCACAAAGTGGTTTCAAAAATCCAATACAAATCATGCTATTAAGACGGACTGTGTAGGACTCCTGCGCAAAATTATTAGAGTTGATCTCTTTAAAAAACAAACTTCCTTTTCTTGTGATATCTAAAATCCATTTGAAAAAGTACATAAAAATAAACAGGCTATCCGGGTGGAGCCTAATTCTCATAAAGTGAACCTTACCCAAGAATTCTACCACATGTCTAATGTCTGTGCAGCCACTTCCTAGAGCAAAGAGGACATGACTGGTCCCAGGGCCATGCCTGCCTCAGTCACAGGTTGGTCTGTTCAAGTTCCCTTCTGCCCTGTCCCCAAAGTGGACCCCTCTTACCCATCCCTTGTCTTTTGACAGACACTTCATCATTAAGGATGCATCTCTAGGCACACCATATGCTAGTTCAGTCTGCTTTCAAATATTTTGGAAATCAAATCATACCCTAAGTATTCTGTTTCACTTGTTTGATTCATACTGTGTTGGGGAGGTTGTGGGTGTCGCTGTAGCTCCTTTCCACCAGCACAGAGTATGCCACGGGAAAGACCAAGATACATCGATCCGTTCTATTGCTGTGCAATTGGTCTTTTGTAATTTGCTTTTATTTCAAGGAGTATTACTCCACAATGCCACTACCTTCTGGCAGTTCTGCTGCAGATGAAGCACAATGGACTCCACTGATTTTACCACTTTTCAAGCTGTCCCAAAGCAGGTACAAGAGTGTAAATGGCAAAACCAAGGAACGATATCACTAAAAATAGATCTTCTTTTCAATTTATCTTGATAGGAAGAGAAAAAGAGAGACACACATCCTTCCCAGATGCTCTCAACAGCTGGCGTTGAGCCGGCCTGAGGTCAGGGGCCAGGGCCTCCATTCTAGTCTCTCCCATGGGCAGCAGGGCACCACAGACCTGAGTCATCATCCGCTGCCTGCCAGGATGCAAATAAGAACCGCAGGGGGATAAGACTCCCACCAGGTCCAATATGGAACCAAGCAGCATCTTAACTGCACAGACTCATATTAAATAGATACATATATATATTCCCAATAGTTTCATCAAAAGTAAGTCCCTCTGAACTGGCTACTATGCCATAAGTATGAAACACCCCCAAATAACCACATTAGTACAGAGGGACTGCTTGCAGATTCAGCCACTTGATGTTAGTTACAGTCATACCAGATCAAGGCATGTCAGATAAAAGGGCATCACAACGGAACGGCACCTTCAAGGCTAGCTGTCCTCGGGGCCCCTGCGGTCCTGGAACTCCTGGACATTTACAAAACGTACAGCAGCAAGTCCTTTCTGCAATGTTCCCCTGGAAAAGGCAAAGCAGAGTGAGCAGCCATCGTCAGGAACCTTATCACGTGAGAAGCACATTCACACCAATGACAATCCATCGCCACAGACCACCTTCTTCCATTGTGGGGAGCGGGGCTGCAGAAAGAGGAGGGCTTTGGGCCTTCACACTGCAGAGAGGACACCAAGCTGGCCACCCTGCTGGTGACATGTCCTCTCCCAAGGAAATGACTTTTACTTAGAGAAAGTATGCCCAGCACATTCGTAGCCAGATCAAGCTTGCCTAAGATACGTAGGTTGCCACTTGACAGTCACCTGTATTTCAGGATTTCCGTATTATAAGCAGTTGGGATTTTCTGTTTGATTATGGGCTGCCTTGTTTGTGAGTTTTCTTATGCATTCATTTGGTGCGGTGACACAGAATGGAAAGGCATGCAAAGCAAAGTGGGATGTTCTAATCTTCCAGGCTTTGTCACACATCACTACATGGGGCTCACAAGGGCTGCCCTTGCAACATTCACCAAGACTCCAGCTTTACTCTTCTAGCATTTTGTTCAGCAACTCACCAGGTACTGGGAGAGCATTCTGCCCACTTCAGTCATCCCAATGTTCAGGTAAGTCCTGTAATGAAAGCCTTTTCCAAACTCAAAGCTGGAAAACTCATCATGAGCAGTTGTGTTAAGGGAAACCACGAACAGAGCATCTAGTCCTAGTGAGTACAAACAGCAGACAGAAAACCAAAGGTTAGGCATGAAAAAGACAGAAGTCATTCTATTCCTGCTCCATGCACATGATTCAAGGCATGGAGAGACAACAGGGAGAAAGAACCTGACCTTAGGCTTCTCTGAGATACACTCCAGGCTCTGGTCCCTGACTTTAGCATCAAATTACCCTTGGGAAACATATTCAAGAACTGCTTACAAAGAAACGGGAAATCACCGGCAGGTGCAAACACTGCACCATCAATGCTGATGTCATTCTTGGGCCTTCAAAAGTGATTTTTTTGGGTAAAGACTTTATTTGAAAGGTAGAGTGGTAGAGTTACAGACAGATAAGGAAAGGGAGGAAAGGGAGGAAGAGGAGGAGAGGAAGAAAGGGAGGAAGAGAGAGAGAGAGAGAATCTTCCAAATGACCACAGCAACCAGAGCTGAGCCCATCCAAAGCCAGGCGCTTCCTCAGGGTTCTTTCTTATGGGTGCAGGGACCCAGGAACTTGTACCATTCTCTGCTGCTTTCAGAACATAAGAAGGGGCTGGATCAGAACTGAATCAATTGGGATATGAACTTTATGGGATGTTTGTCCCCCACAGGTGGAAGCTTAGGCTACTATACAATGATGCAAGCCCCCTCCAAAAGTGATTTTTAAGAAAAGGAAATTGTTTACCTTTAGAGTTTTTTGCATTTCTCTGAATGTTAATTAATGGAAAATTCTAAGCTGTCCTCATCACCATGCAACCCTGGGAGCCCAGGTGCTGAGAGCATGAGGAAAGCCCAGGAGGATTCCAGGGTCGGTTGCATTTCCGGCCACACCGAGCTCATCAACCCCTTTATTCACTCATAAATTAATTCACCTGCTCATTTATTCCATTCAAGCCTTCATTACACAAATGCTGGTTCATCAGGGGCCTCTTAGGTTCTCACCCTGTGCCAGGGACACAAGATGAATAAATAGGTCTGGTATACTCCTCCTTCCCTTTGCTAGGGATTTACAGTCAAATGGAACAGATGGAGAAAAACCAGAGCCAGGAGAGTGCTCTCAGAGCGAATGTGCACGTGCTATTAGAGTCTCCAGGGGAAACTCCAGGCTCAGTCTTGGGGGGATCATTCAGAATGCCTGAAATGGGCAATGTGAGGAGTGGGTTAAGGCTGGCACAGGGATCAGGGCTAAGCCAGGTCCTGCAAAGCATCATGGGCCATGTTAAGGAATGTGATGTATATCCCAACAACAGCGAGCAGGTCTTCAAAACCATGAGCAGAGAAGGTGACACAATCCAGCAACAGAGCAGGGAGTGTGACCTCCGAAGAGGCCACAGCTTGTGGAAGTTGAATCCAGAGGGAGAGCGGGCTTCACTGAGGAAATCCCAGGCAGCGAGTTCCATCTGACAGCCAGTGCTGTGGCAGCTCCTATGTGCAGCCTCCAGCTCAGCCTGAGCTACAGCCACTTCGGCCACTTCCAGATCGCATCCCCGTCTCCCATGTGGATGGAGAGAAGCAGCAGAGGACGTTTCAGGGCAAGCTCCCTGAGAGAGGAAGCTGTGTACAGGGTGCACTGAGGGAGAGGGAGAGAAGCCGAAGAGGTTGTGAGCACAGATGGAGCCCAGTGAAACCTGTTTGGCCTGATTCCTGCGGGATTCTGAAAGTAAAAGGCACCAAGTTGACCCAGGTAAGGCAGGAGGACCTAGCTTGTGTATCCCTGAGTTATCTACAGCCCTCCTGCACTAACCCTACTCCAAGCACACTCCTCCACGGCTGAGGCCAAAGGCACGCACCCGCAGAAGGCCATAGGCCTGAGCATGACCGCACTTGTAGCACCTCACGACGCCAGCATGCAGAGCACTCGCTTAAGGCAGAGACCCGCCCGGCATCTGCCGAGATCCGTAGTTCACACCTGCAACACAGTACCTGCTTCTCTGAGCCTGTCTGCTTGGTCCTCCAGCACTGTGATGCTTTCTCCCTGCAGACCATCAGAAAAGATGAGTAGCACCTGGAGAGGGAGGACAGCAGAGGTGGGGCCGCTGGATATGCAGCTGTGGGAAGGAGGTGCAAAAGAGGGCATGTTCAATGGGATACCTGTCCACGGGAGGCAGATCGATCATCGAATGTGTCCCACAGCGACTCCAAGAACTGGGCATTCAGACGAGTTGGACCACTGACGGTAACACGCAGCAAGCTGTCAAAGACTGCTGTCTGGTAGATTTGAAACTTGGCCGGGAATTCTTGGTCGCTGTTCACCTTAAAGGCCAGGCTCACCTGCGTGTCCGCACCAGCCCCACAGCTCACCCCCTTGATGGAGGTGATGTCCTCTAAGATGCCTGGGAGGTGTGACTCCAGCCGGGGGTGGCCCTGGAACAAAGGCTGCCCCTGTAGGTGAGTGGAAATGTCGAATCCAACCACGACGTCCACAAAGCATCCTGAAGAGAAATGAGGCCAGATCAAGGGTCAACAGGCATAAGGAAGGGAAGACAGGGCAGGGAAAGGAGAGTGTCCCAGAGCTGCAGGGTTCCCAACACTGAGGGCGGTTAGGACACAAGATGCTGGCTGCTCGCCCTGCAGAGTGCACAGGCGAAACACACGCATTTCCTCTGGCCCTTTTCAGATGCTACAGGTTCTGACAGCTATTTCAAGTTCCAATCATAGCACTGTCTCATTCTCACTGGTTCTGTGCCTTCTTCTGCGTGCATGCCTTTCTTCTTGGAATGATAACATAGTCTGATTTATATCATCATAACTTCTTGGGTTATGAGTTGGCTTTAGAGATGGCCTAATTTCCAGAGCTCACAAATGCAAAGCCTCAGGGCAGTGATGCAGGTGTGTCCAGTGGGAGGCATTGAAGACGTGACCTCTGACAGAGTTACTCATCCCTGGACCTTTTGACTGGTCAACTCTAACGAGCAGAGGTGTAGCCTGGTGCTGTCAGTTCTTCCAATGTTTCCCAAGAGGAAGCTGGAACCTACATTTTGAAAATGTGAAATTTCCAGCTTATAAACTCTGTCAATGAGCTGAGCTAGCTTTGTCAACACTGAACAGGATGAGTTGCACACACAAGTGCAAGTTGCTACTGGCCACCTCTGTGCTGGTGCTCATTGTGCAGATAAGGCAACAGGGGTGTGTGTTGCTGTCACTGCTGAGCCAAAGTTAGAACTCTGGCTTTTTGACTCCAGGACCAGGGCTCTCTGCACTTATGCTCCCTGAAAAGCGTGCAAACCCCAACAGAGCTTGTGACGGAAGTGGTTCACCCACAGCAACTCCAGACACACACACTCAGGATTTTCCCCATATCATTTTCCACTGCTGCCTCCTGGTATGCTGCCCTCTGAAAGGGGCAGAGTGCCAGTCTCCCACTGCTAGGCTCAGCTGGCATTGACCAGCAAAGTCCCATGAGATGGTCATGTCCACGCACACCCTGCCTGCCTGGCTCTCCCACATTACCACTTGGTCTCTAGGTTAAATACTCTCCAGGAACAACCCAGATCTCTACTATGTCATGATGAAAGTCATCATTAAAAGAATAAAAAGATACCACATACACACACCACGCACAAACACAGACACACACACAATATCAACAGCCTCATGAGATAGTTTATCCAAGTCAAGATCTTAAAATTTCCAGTCAGCACTTGTGCTGGGAGCAGAGCATTGTGTTGGGACTTCCAGAAATGGACGACAGAAGGAGGTTACTGAGGGTCAGGTGCTATGAGCAGCATGAAGCTGGGGTTGTGGCGGGGGAAGGGCTGTCTGCAGAACCCCAACCAGGATCCCTTCACTTCAGCACACTCTCCTGGACTCTGATAGAGGCCAAATGACCCTAACCTTTTGGGAAGCATAAGAGAGAGGGGCCTCTTTTTACTGGGCACTACTCCAAACATGCAAGAGGTCTTTAAAAAGTTCATGAAAAGCACATGTCAGGAAAAAATATATATACATATAGAAGGATGTCAGGATGATTTTGTACCAAAATGAACTCACTTGCTGGCGCGTTTCCCCACACTCAAGCTCCTCCACACATTCAGCTAGAGCCGGCCCAGCAGCCCTCCCTGGGGAATGGAGACAGAGGCAGAATACTCACTGGTCTTCCCGCAGCTCTGGCAAATTTCACGGACCATCCTTTTTTTCACATCCACATCACTGAGTTTATCGAAGTTGCCGTAGGTGAATATTTTTTCCGGGTTGCCTGTTATGGGCAGCAGCTGATCTTTACGGACATCCCCAATGCCCAACGCCAGGACGCAAATGCCAAGGGCTCTCAGGGCTTTCAGGGCTTCCCTGGCACCCACCACGTTATAGCGTAGGTCCCCAGATACAATGACCACCAGCATCTGGGGAACACCAGCGTTTCTTCTCCCACTGGCACTTGGGTCAAACATGCTACGCACGTTACGGAGGGCCAAGTTGATGCGAGGTGGCCCTTTAATCTTGGTGACGGTCTGAAATTGTGCCTTCCACTGACTTTGAGTGAGAGAGCTTTCCAACTCAATAATTTTCTGGTAGCGACTCCCAAATTGAGCCATTCCGATTTTCATTCTCCGAGACTGGATGTCAAAATTATCAATTAAGTCTGACAGGAAGGTTGTCATGGTAACAAACCCTGAGTCAGAGACCATATCAGAGCCATCAAAAAGGAAAACCACATCAGCTTCCTGAAGGCTGCAAACTGCAATGGGAAAAAATAAAGACACCATTTTTCTCCATGAATGTTGCTAGACTTTTCCTGCAAATACTTAGTGCTACTTTTACTCATTACATAAACGGCTCTGAATTCATAGCAAACTTAAACTAACCAAAGAGTGGATCATTAATTGGCCCTCAAAAAGAGGAGGGCAGTGGCAGAAGAGGGAAAGACTCCCAGGTAAGGACTGTAAGCTTTCTAATATACCAGATCTGGGAAAAAAACAGAACACCTACCAGCTCAAAGTCACAACTTCTAAACAGTGAAGGGTAAGAAAACAGCACTTGTATTGACGTGTTATTCCCAGTAGAAACAAAAGGTGAAAAAGTTGGGGAACATAACGGGGCTGTAGAGTTAAGCATGGGGCTGGGAAAACAGCAGACAATGGCTCAGTGTGGCTGAACAGTCTACTGGAGGCAGGGAAAGCAGAGGGACGTGGTACTCCCAGCGGTGGAACAGTGCGCATGGACATGGAGGCATTTCCTGATGACAGGGCAGACTTTGAAGACAAGGTAGGGACTGAAGAAGCTGGAGAAGTGGACAGAGACTACTGGAGCTCAGAAGATTGGAAATCACCGCAAAGGCTAGTGTAACCTACAAAACTACAAGCAGAGGAGCGGTCGAGTCCAGTGTGTAGGAAAGAGACCATTTGGTATTGAGAATGGGCAGATGGACAGCAGTCCAGATGGAGGAGGGGGCCCAGAAACAAGACAACACAGGCAGAACTGAGAGGGCCTGCTGCCTCAGGAAACAGCACACTTCTTTTTCCTAGGTAAGGTTGATACCGTCGCTCAGTATGGAAGCTAACCAGATGAATGCTTTGTTCAGTGACATACAAGCTAAGGAGGCTGCACATCGTAACACTCGGTAAAGCAAATGCTGATCTAAGTTACAATCTGCAGGGAGACTTTGTATGAGGCTGGGCAGCTTGCGGAGACGGATATGGGTTCACGTGAGTCTCAGAAACATGATTTGTGATGCACGTGGAACTGGGTTTCACACCTGGAGACAGAAGCCAGCGGGATGGATTCAGGCCTTCCAAGGGGGCACAGCCCTCCCTAGCTGTTCATCTTAGCTTCTTCTGAGATCTGGGGCATACCCCACCTTTTCCTCATGCAAATGGGATGTCCCAGCGATGGCTCATGTTGTTAGCTTTCTTCCTTTTCCTGCCTGTTCCTACTGTCAATTTCAATTGCCTACATTCAACTTCCCTTGACACAAGTAATTCTTGTCCATAAAATGCATACCAGGACCCCCTGGACTCCCCGTGGCCCTTTAGGACGCTCTAACTGCATCTGGTGGGCCCTGAAGTTTTGAAGACATAAGACTGTCCATTCAAGGCCTGAAACAGGACTGCTGGCTGCACTGAGACCATTAAGTGCATGGAGCAGCACAAGAAGCCAGTGAATGGGTGAGGCAGATCCTACCCGCAAAGCTGCCTGCTGAAGGCTTTTTTTTTATTATTATTATTTGAAAGTCAGATTCACAGAGGAGATACAGAGACAGATCCCCTATCCGCTGGCACATTCCCCTAGTGGCTACAACGACCAGGGCCAAGACAATCCAAAGTCAGGAGCCAGGAACCTCCTCTGGGTCTCCCACGCAGGTCCCAAGGCCTTCAGCCATAGTCCACTGCCCTCCCAAGTCACAAACAGGGAACTGAATGGGAAGTGGGGCAGCCAGGACATGAATCAGCACCTACATGGGATCCTGGCACATTCAAGGCAAGGACCCCAGCCACTAGGCTACTTAGTTTTCAGGGCCGTGAAGTTTCCTTGTGTAATCTCTTCAATATATGTTGAGGTGGGAAGGAATCTTCAGGAAAGGGTTCCATTAACCCATCTCTTTTAGAGATGCAAAAAGGCTTCATTAAATCAGAGGGGGAAAACAAAAACAAAACCAGCCTCGATATGCCCAGGTACTAGGCAGCCATGATTTGCAATCTACTATTATTTTTAAACTTCTATTACAACCCCACGGCAAATTTAAAATAATAACTTACCCTCTTGTGCATTGTTACACATACTTTCTTGTAAGGGCAGATATACATCTTTCAGTTTATCAAAGTTTTCGACATGGATGGTGTTTGCTTTACTCCCTGCTATTATCTCCAGTTCGTTTTGGTTGGCTGCTCCCACGCCCACCGCCATGATGCTGATGCCTTTGCTCCTGAGTTTCCATGCGGTGTCATTGAGCTGAGGCGAATCAGTGGATGCCCCATCTGTGACGACAATTAGCATCTGCTTCACGTTCTGCTTGATGCGGCTGCCATGTTCCTCCTGGAACAGGGTGAGTGAGTGATTGAGAGCCCTGGCAGTGTAGGTGCTTCCCTTGGTAATCCTGCCCTTCCTCAGAGCCTCAATAATTGCGGAGCGGTTTGAGTACGTGTTCAGGTAGAAGAGGACTTTGGGATCATCAGAATATATGAGGGCTCCAAACTGAACTCGGTCCCTCCCCACATCCGACTTCTTCACCAAATGGGTCGTTAGGTTAAGCATGCTGTCTTGCTGCTCTGACGTTATGCTGAGTGAATGGTCCAACACAAACACAACATCCAACAGCATGATCCTTTTACAGTCTGAAAAGGAGAAGCAAGGGGAAATCATAAGCTTTCTGCAGTGCCTTCTACAGACTGCTGGGGTGGGTGGACGTGGGGCGGGGTGCTGCAGAGAGCAAGTGGACATTTCCCAGGAGCCGGCACTATGCCAGAACATCCCAGCCCACCTGCTTCTTATGAGTGGCCTTTGCCAGTCTACAGAGCTAGAAGCTGAGGCTCACGAAATGCAACTCCCCCAGCTCACAGTTCTTGGGGCATGTGCCCCTTACCCACGTGACTCAACAATCAGGAACCCTTGTGCCATAACACCCTCCTCTGCTCTGTCTCATCAGGGCGTGGAATGCCCTTGGCTTATCAGACTTTCTATTGGAAGGGAACAGCAGAAGGAAATTCAACGCCAATTTAATGGTGACACACACTGAAGTTTGTCACACGGGCCTGCTCTTCTAGCGGACCCAGGAGCTCACAGGTAAGTTCTGCTCCCTCTGGCTGCAGCTTCTTCCTCCTCTGACCTCCTGAATCCAATTTAAAAAGAAGCAGAGTCTCCAAGGCTTGCTCCATACTGAAAGCCAGAGCACTTGCTCTGGCCAGGCCTCCACAATGCACCCTACCTAACTCTCCTTTCTCTTTTTTTCCCTTGGTAACTTCTAGTTTGAGCTCATGCCTTCCTTCCTATTTCATTTTTTTCCCCCATTTTCCACTGACAGGCTTATTTCTGGCAGTGAAGTCTCACATTTCAAAGCCTCACACACTCTGGATAGTCTAGCCTACATCTGGAAAAACCTGGGGCAGCTGTCCACTGGGCTCTGTGGTTAGTCATGATTCAACCATTATTGGCGAGTCAACCAAAACTTCACCTTCAGCTCTACAATAGGCCTTCACAAGCAGTGCAGTCATTCAGATGAAGACCAGGAATCAGATTCTTGTAGATTGTGTAGTTCAGCCCAAAGACTTTCAGCACACCTCCCAACATTATCAAGAACCCAGAAATCACTCCACTCTCAGAAGGAGGAACTCTGATGATGCTTCCAATTACTAAGGAAGTCCTAGAGATAAGACCTAAACCTTGGAGATTACAACAAAGCACTTTATTTGCTGACATTATGAAAACTATACATGCAATCTTTTTTTTTTAAAAAAAGATCTATATAGAGGGGGAGATAGAGAGGTCTCCATTTGCTAGTTTACTCCCAAAATGGCCACAATGACCATAGCTGGCCTGGCCTGAAGCTGAAAGCCAAGAGCTTCTTCTGGGTCTCCTGTGTGGATGCAGGGGCCCAAAGAATTGTGCCATCCTTCACTGCTTTCCCACGCTGTTAGTAGTGAACTGGATCAGAACTTGAACCGGTGCCCAAATGGTATCCTGCACTAGCAGGCGGAGGTTTAACCTACTATGCTATGGCACTGGCCGCCATACATTAAGAACAAACTCTAAGGAGATTTCTGTGTTGTCAGTATATATTTCAATACTTAATTATTTGAAAGGCAGAGTAAGAGAGAGAGAGAATATATATATATGAGAATGAATAAGAGATCTCCCTTCCATTCTCTCACCCCCAACTTCCAGCACCAGCCAGCATAGGCAGGCCATCCAGAAGCAGAGAGAATTCAACCGAGTCTTCCACATAGCTAACAGGGACAGACTCCAGTACCTGAGTTATCTCCTGCTGTCTCCCAGAATGCACCGGCAGAAGTCTGGATTGGAAGAGGAGCCATAATTTGGTTTTAGGATGTGGTCTTGGGATGTGGGAGTCCTAAACAGCAGCTTCGCTAGCTGTGCCACAACACCACCCCTTCTTACGATAAGTTGAAAGTCACGGAGACCCACCTACACTATGCCATACAATCTGCCAAAATCATTTCTCTGGAATACCCCCTGGAGATGACGGGTGTTGCAATACAAATAAGACTCTTCACTCAAGTTTAGGATGAGGCCACACCCAGGATACAGCATGCTGTCTACCCACCAGAGAATCACCAGCTGGTGTCTGAGTCCTGCAGGTGGACGGGTCACTTACCATGGAGAGTACACACGCGGAAGATGAGTTTATTTTCTATATCCTTTAGGTCTTTAAAGTTCTCCACATAGAAAACCAGGCTGCCGTCCCCGCTGATCTCCTCCAGCTGCGTGCGGTTGGCTCCGTACACCCCCACCGAGAAGATGATCACGCCCTGGTCCCGCAGAGCTGCAGCAGGTTCTCGCACGTCGTCCTGGGCTTCTCCATCCGTGATGAGAATGAGGAACTTTCTGACGCCGGGCCGGGCGCCCTTGGACGGGGTGAAGTATGGCTCTATAAACCTGAGCGCACTTCCCGTCAGAGTGTTTCCAGTGATGAGATTCATTCTGCCTATTTCGTCTGAAATCTCTTGTTGGGTAGAGAACTTGTTAAGTGGAAACTCTTCCTTATTATAATGACTGAACTGAGCGACACCAATCTGAGCTTTATCTGCACCGATCTGAATCTTCGTTAACAGGGTTTGCATGAAGGTTTGCATTTTCTCAAAGTTTGTATACCCTATACTGCTCGAACCATCCACAAGAAACATGATGTCAGCTTTCATGTCTTCACACCCTGTATGTCACCAAAAAAAAAAAAAAAACCGGAAATCATCCAGCATTAAAGCAGTCATAAATGCATAAAGAAGAAATCATAGAAAATTAACCCAAGCAACTAATTTTATGTTTGAAAGATTTGTTTGTTGTACCAACCAGCACTCTGACTCAGAAATCCACTGCCAAGTAAGGAGTTTCAAAACAGGAAATGCAACTTCCAGCATGTATATTTATTCCTTCAGACATGCAGAATTGCATTTATTACTCATTTATGCATAATAACTCTTGAGATACACGAAGTGCCAAGCTCAGGCTATGAGTGTGGCATGCAATGGCATCCAAAAGAATTACACTAAATTAATCAATTCCTAGCCTTCTTATTCTGGTCTCTATCATTCTGAGGTTTTATGTATACTCTTCACAAAATGAAATTATACATAATCTTTAAATAACATTATATTCTAAAGTATGTAAGTCATTTGGTAAGCACTGTAAGTCAATATCATAAGTCCAGTAGACATATGTGTGCTAAACATGCAGTATTCTTTTATATACGTAAAATTTACACATAGCGTATGGGTCGGAAATGAACGTGTATGTACTTGCATGCAAGCATACATACATAGAAGACTAATTTCAATAAGCTATTCAAAAGTGCTATTAATTCATGGTACATGGTTACATAATATGCAAATACATGGTTTTTAACATGTACCCCTTGGTGTTATCCTTTAGGTCTGTGTGTCTGTTTCCTGTTAGCCATCTCCTCCTTGGTATCATGAGGCATATTCCACAAGAGTTGAAAATAAACATTTGGCATCAGGCACATAAGGAAAAATAACAAAAATTAATGATTATTTTTGAATAGCTTGGGTTGTGTAAGGCCAATCCTCCAACCCAGGAGGAGACTGAGAGCCTGATTTTTCATCTCCACACTGCCGAGAGCCATCTTCAAAGTCGCAAGGTTGGGAGCCACTGAAGGTGCCTGTGGCCTCGACAAAGTGTAGATGACTCCATTCCCTACAACTTATATGCAGGAATGGATTTGCACTTGTAGTTTCACATCCACAGGATCAACCATCTCCAGCTGCCTCCTGTATCCTAATATCTACTTTTCTCATTCTTCTATGTTAAAACTCACCGACATTTCCTAGCCTTTGAAATTAAATGCAACAGATGTGAGCAGAAGTGAGCTAGCCACCTCTCAGTCTTATTGAAGTAATTCCACGTGGTGGGCTCTCCTAGCCCTCCGTCCCTTCAATTCAGCATGATGACAGGAGCCTTCATGCTGATCTGACGGTGGAAGCTACACGTTGGGAACACTACAGCCTCCGTACTAGAACCTGACTGCTCCGCTCAGCTATTCTGTAAGAAAGAAACAATATTCTACAGGAGACAGTCAAATATTTAACCTCTAGTCAGAAGAAAAATGCAAAGGTGCATTTCTGTTTTAAACACAAATGAACAATGCCTACATATGTACCATGTATGAGTCCATGACATATAAATTTACTGACATTTATGATGCTGATGAGGATTTCTGATGTAGGTATAATCCTCCTTTCACATGGGAGCATTTCAAAAATGTTTGCTGAAAATGGAATTAAAAGACAAGTTTGGGTACAAAAACATTAAAAACCCACATTCTTTGAAAAGTTCATAGAAACGCATCTCATGAAAAAAAAAAAAACAACTACCCATGGATTTCTAAACTGCTACACGCCAAGGTTAACTGATTTTCAAAAATCCATTTCCACAAACTTTTAGAAGCACCCTCACCTACAAGGTTGTTTTTAAACTCAAGTGAAAAGTAAGTTGAACATTAGTCTAACCTAAAGCCAACATTCATTTCCTTGCACAAAGCACTCACGCGTGTGTGTGCGTGCACACACACACACGCACACACACACACACACACACCCTCCGCTGCAGTGGGTTTTTTGAAGGCCATGACACTTAGCAACCTTTCCACCTTCAGCATCCCAGACAGCACTGGAGCAGATCGCTACAGAGGGACTGCTCAATCTTGGATAAATTTGAGGCACTGAATTTCCTCATGGTGATGCAGCAGGAAATAGCAGAATGTTAGCCCAAGAACTGGTGACATCGTCCCTTGCCTGCCCGCTCCCATCTGCCTGAAGTAACTGGTGAGACAGAAACGGGGTTGGCTTTGACACGCTTACCTTTCTCTTTGCAGATGCGATGAACAACTTCATTTTTGATGTTTTTCAAAGAATCAAAGTTCTGTCCAAAATTAACCTTTTCTTCGGTGCCAGCAATCTGTACCAGTTCTTCCATGTTGGCTTCCCCAATGCCGACTGCGTGAATGGTGATTTGCTCATCCCTTACTCTCTTCGCAGGCTCTGCCACCTCATCCTGAGACTGTCCATCGGTCAGCACGATGAGGTAACAGGGAACCTCCCTCCCCCTGGCATGCCTTCCCTTCCTCATGATGTGCAGGGTGAAATCCAGGGCTTTCCCAGTGTTGGTGCCACCTTTCTGTTGCTTGATGTTGTCAATGGCCTTTCTTACTCCAATGTTATCCCTATAGACATCAATGTCGAATTCCACTGCGCCGTCGGATGAATACTGCACCACGCCCACACGGATTCTATCTGGACCGATGTTAAACATGTCTGTCACCTCCAACATAAATTTCTTGATCTGCTCAAACTGACTTCCACTGATGCTGCCCGAGCCATCAATGAGAAAATAGATGTCAGCTTCCTTTGTATCTACACAGCCTGCAAAAAAAGTAAAATAAACAAGTAGAGAATCCATTCCCGTTCACTAGCATCTTTGTGAAGAGGGTTTGTGGAGGCAGGTGAGGTGGCGCAGGGTCTGAAGGGTGAGGACTCTGGCATTTGCGTCAACCTGGGGACTTCCTCAGTCATGTCCATGTCCGCTTGCTGCTTAAAAATCACAAGTGCCTGGGAAGAAATTGCAATAAAGCAGGACATACTGGACTAATCTAAGGTCACTTAGCAGATCAGGGTGGGTGAAATTCCTAAACCTGCAAGGCTCTAAGTGAGCAGGCTTTTCTAGAACTGACATATGCCTTATCTTTTTTTTTTTTTTTAAGAGACATATCACGGGACTGGTGACCATCTGTTCTTACTACTGCAAAATCTCTTCATCACAGAGAAAATAGAATAATATATTTAAAGCTAAAATACAATCACATCAGACTTCTATTTAAATCACTGAATTGAGAATTTAAAAATTAAAAAACTGGCCTCATCCTTCTGCATGCTTTTCTCTGTAACTCTACTTCCCGCAAGTTTTTTCATTCGCTTCCCTCCTTCACAAGGGGCCTCTCCTGCTCGTGGTGCCATGGGGACTTGGCACTCACCCTCCTCTTTTCCTGGAATCTGCCTCCCCTCACTTCTCCTATCACTGTGGGGTACACTCCCTAACACATCCATTTTTAGTGAGTACTTGCTCAACCCCTACTTCTGAGAGACCCAAACGAAGTCAGACAGCAACACTGGGAACAATGGCCAGAAGGGTTTATGAATGATAACCATTGCTTTTGGATGGCTCTTGTCCTCACTTTGACCCACACCTTCCCACACACACACACATTTGCCACAGCATTAAAAAGTCCTAATACCACACACTCATCCTAAACTATTAGTAGCTGATACTGGACCACGGCAGCTTCCACTCTGAAGCACTCCCTGACACATCTCTCAGGAGGTAACAGGGGCCCTGTTTGTTGTTGCTGCCTTAAAAATCTAGAGCTATTGAAGGATGCAACCTTAAGCCTTCCAATGTCAGGTATGAGTTGAAAATTAGTTTCTCAAACCATTGGAAAACTACAATTCATTTTTAAATGAATGCTGCCAAATTTCAATGTCAACTGTTTGGAAGCGTCTTATCTGTAAAGAAAAATATGCACAGATAACTCAGAATTAAATGAAGTCTAAACCACATTAAGGATCTCCTGGCATGGACATTGGAAAAGAGCTCTCTAAAAGGATAGCAGATTCACAGATGTCTTACATAGCACCTGCTTAACTAGGAGGAAACAAAAAGCAATTTAAAAGAGCAAAACATTGGAATACAATCATAGTTATACATGGAGAACCCCTGTTAGACTTACAAAAGCAAAACGTGGACATGGACCTCTGCAACCAACAATGGAAACCTGCTAAGCAAAGGATGGTATATATAGTGCAATAGAGAATTTTTCACCATTTAAAGAAAAATCTGCAACATAATATTTAAGGAAATGGACAAAGTCCATAATATAAAGATAATAGAAAAGTGGCTAAGATAGAAAGTCCTGGTTAATCCCCAAATCCACGCTCCTTTCTTCTACGCTAATGGTGTTACAGTTTTTACACAGACTTGGCTTTTCAAACAAACACTACATTTCCCAGCTTCCATTTTTACAGCCAGGTGTGACATGTGACAAATTTCTGGCCAAGGGGACATAAGCAGAAGTGGTATGTCATGTGACAAATTTCTGGCCAATGGGACATAAGCAGAAGTGGTATGTCTAACTCCCAGGAAAATGGGCAGAGGCTTGCACTTACTCTTTTCATCTTTCCTGCTTGCTGGATGTGACTGTGATGCCTGCAACAGTTACGTTGGACTGTGAGCCTAATAAGAAAGGCCACAAACAACAACAACAAAAGTAATAAAGCACAGATGGAGACAGGGCCTCTGACGCCATCTGCTCACCTCTGGACTTTTTATGAAGCCATAAAAATGATTCCATCCTGTTTGAATCACTCTTGGGTTAGCTTCTTCTGACAGTCAGACTCCGATGTATGCCTGCACTGTCTAATGCTACCACACACATGACTGTGAACATGGATAAAAGTGAGGTCACCTTTGAGACTCAGTTCGTCACCAGCCTAAGCCACACGTCAAGTGTTCCGCAGCCACACATAGCTGGTGGCTGTTGTACTGGACACTGTCACTGGAGAATATTGCCATCAGAGGCAATGCGGAAGACACTGTTGTGCATAACGTGATACTATTCTACAGCCCATGTGTGTGAATCTACAAGAGTAGAGGCAGAAGAGAAAAGAGACTAAAGACAAGAAATGTTCAGAGTGAATTTATCTGAAGACAGAATCACAAGAGGCTTCATTTTCCTTTTATGTTCATACTATAAAATATTTTGTAATTAACATTAATTTGTATACCTTAGTATGTTATACATGCTAGAAAATTGACTTATTCTAAGGGCACTGGTCAATGAGTTTTTGTCAATTTATAAAGTTATGCAACCATCACCAAAATCCAGTTGTAGGACATGTTTTACGACATCCCCATAATTCTAGAGCATTCTAAAAAATTCCCTGATCCAAACACCGTCACTCTTCACTCCTGCCCCAGCCCTAGACAACCACTTATATTATTCTTATCAATAAAGGTTTTTTTGGAAAAGTGTACCTGTTTTATCAAGTTCCAGTTGTTCCCCTTGAGTAGAAATCTGGGACCATATTTCACTCTGGAGCTTTTTCAGGAATGTCTTGGAGTAATTTCCCAGGCCTGCATAGGATGTCAGCGGCGAAATAGTCTGCCGAGGAGGGTAAGACACTATTTCTTCCAGCTGAGTTTCATTAGCTCCTTGCATGTTCATAGCAAACACAGTGACACCCTCCAGCCGAAGCCTGAATGCTGCATCACGCACTGGGTCATCCGATGGCCTGTTGGTGACCACCACTGCGATCTGGGGCACCCCCTGGGCCCTTCTGCTGCCACTGGCCTCCGAGAAGCCTTCTCTCCTCAGCTGCTCTATGGCGGCCTCCAGATTGGCTCTCCCAGCCCGGACAGACAGCTTCTGGATTTGCTGCTGGAATTCAGACTGGCTTCTGCTTGAATTGAGAGAAGCCAGCACCTGGGTGCTGCCACTGTAACTCATCAACCCCAGTTGCACACAGTTTTCCTTCACGTCCAAGGAGCTGGTGAGGTTCTCCAGAAATGTCTGCAGGTTCCTGAGATTTTGGGTGCTCCCAAACGACTCATCCACCAAGAACATGAGGTCAGTCAATGAGTCTTTCCGGCAGGGTTCAGGGAAGGGGCCTATGAGAGGTAGAAGATAGGATGATTAGCATAAACCACTGGCCCACTACTAAAAAAATTGCCAAGAGGCATTAGTGGGGGGAAATCCATGGGAGAGGCAAGACTTACACGATTATTGACTTCGGAAGCTTTGCATCTGATGTTCTTCTATCCAAAGGTTTCTTAGCGATTTTCTTGCCATACCTCACTACCATCCCCCACGGTTGTCATCTTCACGACCATCCTCTGTCCGTCCCACCCCATTATCACCACCATCTACCTCCATGACCACCACCACTATCAGAACCACCATCACACCCCACCTCCATCACCACTACTGCCACCACCACCATCATCTCCATGGCTCCCATCACTACCACCACCACCTCTCTGCTGGGGTACAGAGAGGATGAGTGAGCAGAAATATCTGCAACCTCAGGAAGCTCACCCTCTATGGAAAGGATGGATAACAAGCCTGTACTATTGCAGACAGCAGTGAGTGACAGCAAACACCTAACACAGATGAGCAGACTGGGTGACAGTCCAGGGGATGTGGAAAGAGGTGGAGTCACCGACTGGAGACGTCAAGGAAGTCAAGGAAGGACCCTCTGAGAGGATCACAGTCAACGGAAAAGTGAATGAAGAGAAGGTTTCAACCACATTGTGTTCCGAAGAAAGCAGCATTCCGGCAGGAAGAAGAGGGAGAAACGGGAACATGCGAGGAATAGGCGTGCAAACAAGGATGGGTGAAGTTGGAGAGAGGCAAGACCCAGATCTCCTGTGAGTCACATGGTCTGATTTAAGTCTTTTCAGTATCACTCCAGTTGCTGAAGGGGAGATGATAAATTCAGGGAGACCAGTTAAGAAACTACTGGTCTAGTCCAGAAAGAGGTGGTAGTTCCTGGACTCGCACAGCAGCAGCTGAGTTGGAGCAACAAGGGCAGTTTGAGGCCATGATTTAGCGGGAGAACAGAAGACTTGGGAAATTGAATGCAAGTAGGGAGAAGAAATGAGGAGGTGAGCACTTCCTGGGGTTGAGGCCTGAACAACTCAATAGATGGTTGGTGGCATCTTTTTCCAAGATAGGAAAAAAAAAAAAACAAGCTATAAGCAAGATTCAGAATTTCTATTTCAGACATGCTAAGTGTGGAATACTACTGGGCATCCGAGAGGAGGTAAGTGGTTGATATATTCATCTGCAAAAAATATAATCGGTGAGTACATTGCATTCACATCAAACACCTGCTCAGGGCACTGGTGACTGAACCTCATTTGTGGAAGTGTATCCAAGAGATGAGCTTAGCCTTGTCCAGAACCATCTATCAGCACTGTGAAGCCAAGAAGCATGTTATTCATTTTTATCTTTCCAGTACCTGGCACCTGGTGGGAGCTCAAAAACAACTGTGGAATTTTAAAAAAAAAATTCTCATAAATCTACCAATCAATTCTAAATCCCTCACAGTTGGATTGAACAGACTTGCAGCATGACCCACTCAAGGTAGTGTTTATTTGTGAATAGCTGTTACTCTCAATAATAGTAAACTGCGAGCCAAATGCCATAGAAGTTACTTTACTCATAATATAAGGTAGATACTATTGATGTTATAGTTCAGGATGCAGAAGCTCTGGATTTAAATGACTTCTTCAGTGTTGGGGTTTGAACCCAGATCTTCCTGGTTGCAAAGCCTTTGATCTTCACCTTTGACGGCAATGGCAGGGTGTGGGCCAGCAGTGCTCTGCTGCCCTGTGGTGCTGTGAGCTGAGTCAGGAGGGAGAAGCAGGGGGCCCTGGGACAAGGCAGCAGGCTTTGGGCATAGGGGCTAGGATGCCACCTGCGACCTGTACATCCTCTAGCAGTGCCTGGGGTCAAGTCCTGGCTGTGCTCCAGGGACAAGCTCCCACTAATGTGCACCCTGGGAGGAGCAGACGCTGGCTCGGCTGCCTGAGTCTGTGCCATCCATGTGGGGGGACCCAGACTTGGTTACTAGGTTCTACATTCAGCCTGGCCCAGCCATGGTTGTCATAAATATTTAGGGGAGAAATCAGCACTTGGGTGATCTCTCTCTCTCCTTTTTTAATAAACAAAGTAAATGCTTTAAAACATTTTCTAGAGGTGGAAGAGCGACTGCGCTGGACTGCTCAGGTAAGAGGTTGCTTAGCAGACTAAAGAATCTAATGTTCCCAGAGGGAATGTCACCACTGCTCCTTTCTAGGGACAGCAGTACACAGCCCAAGACCTGTTATACAACCGCAGCACTCTCTAGGTAAGGGGAGAAGAAAGGGAACTCCTCAGTGCCCAGATCAACATGCTCACCAAATCGCCTTTTCTTGACCAGGGAGCTACAACTGATTTCCCAGGCTCATGTGCGTGTGGCTTTATGACTAAAATCTACCAATGAAATGTGAACAGAAGTAGCAAGTGTCACCTCCAGAGGTCACCCACAAACTCACCCAGAAATGATCTCCCATCTTTTGCTCCTCCCACCAACTGTGGAAGTGCCAACATCCAAGGCACTTTGGGAGGTACATCAGAAATGGAAGGGCTAGGACAATAGCCTAGTGACTCAGGCCCCTGTCTTAGCATCGGGATCCCATATGGGCACCGGTTTATACCCCCGCTGCTTTACTTCCGATCTAGCTCCTTGCTTGTGCCCTGGGAAAGCAACAGAAGATGGCCTTGGGACCCTGCACCTGCATGGGAGACCCGGAAGAAACTCCTGGCTCCTGGCTTCTGATTAGCTCAGTTTCAGCCATTACGGCCACTTGGGGAATGAACCAGAGAATGGAGGATCTTTCTTTCTCCTTCTCTTTGTAGATCTGACTTTCCAAGAAAAATAAATAATGAATCTTAAGGAAAAAAAAAAGAAACTGGAAGATCTATCACTGAGACAGCTGAATAAGGAAAGACAACCACCCCAAGTACTGGCACCACAAAGTTACAGGAGGAATAAAGTCATCCTTCAGGAAATCCACTGGGTATCGAAGCCCAACCTGGTCTGACTAAACATCAATCAGTTCCTAGTTACAATAATGGAACTGGGGAATGGTGGAGTGATAAGGAAGTTTTCAGATCATCAATACACACCAACAGATGAGGGTGCCAATACCGGTCACTTGTCCAAGAGCCTAAGAGCCAGGTAGAGGTACTGTCTGCATCTTCTGACTTCCAGTTCAAGGACAAGTTGCATCACAGCAGGTGGTTTCCTGGGTCTTAGTTCTACACTGCTCCTGCTCAGAACGGCTTCCAGTTACCAATTGAGCAGAAAGGTGGCCAGGAAAGTTCATTGTACAAGGGCCTCTTCCTACCCTCATCTGCAGAGAATGGCTGGGTCCTCCCGTGAGCAGAGTGCTGCAGTGAGCACCCCTGCACTGGCCTGTTCTGGCCTACTCATCAACACTGCATGCACAACTTTCCACCCCAGTCTCCCCTGCCTTACCCGTGCTTTCCAAGGAGCCTTATCTCTACTCCAGGAGCTTTGATTTCTGTCTTGTGGTAAAGGACACATGTGAGAGGCTGTGCCGCAAAGAGGGTCTTGGGTACTCCTCCTTTTGGCCGAGGACATCAGGAATAAAAGCCGGCAGGAAAATGCTTTCCTGTACGCCTGCATGAAATGCAGACTAACCCAAGGGAAGGCACTTCTGCCATCTGCTGGGGGGAAGGGGCAGCTTCAAGAGAAAGCAAGAACTCTCCCAAGGGACCAAGCAGCTCCCCAAGAACAACAGAGGTACTGCCGCACTAACAGGGGGTTGGGGGTGCAGCCCTGGCAGAAGGGCTTTGCAGCTGTATAGGGCACTGTGTGTGTGTGTGTGTGTGTATGTTGGGGCTGGGGCTGGGGCTGGGGGCTCAGCAAGCTGGGCAGACTGCATGTTGGAGATAGGACTTAAATCGTATAAGAAAAGGATCGGATATCAATTTGAATTGTTTCCAATGGATCACATTCATGCCCATCAGCCTGTCAAAAATAGTTCCGATAATTCACTTTGAGAGCTGAAAGTACTGGAATTTGTACTGTTGTTGCATGGTAGCTCTTCAGAAAAAAAAAATGTTTACATACTAAGAGATGCATCTTAATAACCAAAGTGTGCAAAAGATATGGATGACAATATCAGCATAAAATCCATGGTTGGTACAAAGGATGAGTTGAACTTCTGGCTCTGGCAGGTCCTGGTACTCAACAGAGATGCTGACCTCTAAGAAGGACTACAAGGGTGCAGGAGAATTGAGACCACAGAGCTCTGCGCAGCTGCTGGTGTCAAAGCAGCAGCGTTCCCTTCCTACAGGTTACCCAGTCGGACAGCTGCTAATGGGCATCTCATTCTAAGTTCCCAGGCTCACAGTCACTATAGGTCAGTCTGCAAGCATTTACTGCGTATTTACTGCAAGCCCCACGCTGCACCATGACATTGGCGGAAGCAGAGAGCAGCAGTTATCTTATTATCTGTAAAACTTGAGCTCACTCTCTAGAGAACAGGACACCCACTCCCTGTTAGGCACCATGCTAGGACCAAAGAACACAGACATCAATCCAAGCTGTTGAATCTGCCTCCTGGAGCCAGAAGCTCATTGCCGGGCATAGGAGAGGGGAACACACACAGGAAATGGATGAAGATGAGAAGTGCTGCTGTCCTAAGGCAAGAACAGGAGCTGTGAATACCAAGAGAAATCTAAAACTAGTATTGCCCCCTCAGCCTTTGGTGCCCTTACCTTCCAGGTCGGCAGGGTGGCCTGTGGGTCTGTGCTGCACCGCGTCCCTGATGGCTTGCGTCATGTTCTGAGAGAACGTGCTCAGGTCTCTGACTGTCCGAAGGTGGAAGTGGAACCCAGCCGTGGCCATGGCCTTCAGGTCGTCCTCCGCAGCTCTCTGCACCCCCACGGAGATGATTCGCACCCCGTCTTGGCGCAGGGCCTCTGCCGCCTCTTCTACGTCATCCTCAGATGTGGCAGAAGCCAGCACCACCAGAATGGGTGGGAACTGCTTCTTGTCCCGGCCCTGAGCGGACGCGGAGAAGTAGGTCTGGTGCGCCTCCCTGAGTGCGTTCCCGAGGCGCAGGGAGCCGCCCATGAAGCCGAAGTTATTCCTGATGTGATTGAGCATGGGGCCCTTGCCCTTGAACGTGCCCAGCTGGAACTCGCTGTGGAGCTGCTCGCTGTACTGGGCCAGCGCCACGCGGTACTTGTTGGCCTCGATGGGGAGGCTGGCGATCATTTTGTTCAGGAAGGTTTTCACGAAGGGGAAGTTTTTAATGCCCAGGTGGTCGGAGCTGTCCACCAGGAACACCACGTCTGCATACTGAGGGCCTGGCCCTATCAAAAGACCATCAAAGTCAAAGTTACTGCTGAGTCTTCATGTTTTGAAGCCTAGTGTTCATTTGAGACATGCTCAAGTGTTAAGGGTATGAGAATCCCAAAGAAAATGTTTTTTGGAGGTCGAACTTGTTATGTTAGAATGCCAAAGAAGCTGACTGCACTAAATTTAGCTCACAGGGTTTCTTTCTATAGCTTTATTCCAGAGGCAATTTCTATTTATTAAAATAAGCTTTGTTGAGACCAAAAATTCCTAAAAATAATAAACATAAAGAAAACCAGTACCTGGGCTCTGGTCTGCCAATGTTTCAGTCCAAAGGAACAGGACAAACAAAATGAACAAAGTCTTCATTTTGTTAGTGAAATATTCTTGCTTCTGTTCTGAAAAAAAAAAAGTACATATATATGCTTACAGTATAAGAGGCTCACTGTATGTCAGGAAATAACCATCAGGATCGCTGGACTGGAGCACAAGATGGCAAGAGCTAGCGTCTCTCAAGAAGTGCCAAGAGGGTTTATTAGGCATTCACCAAACAGTTGGAATATTTGTTGAAAACACATAATGCTACTGTTTGCTGAGCCTTTATCATAGCTCAGGTAGCTTTCTCAATGTTTTTAAATATCATCTAATTTAACCCTCACAACAAGCTTAGAGGGAGGCGAGATTTTTAGTCATGCAATCAACAAAGGAACAGAGGCACAGAATGGTCAATGCGTGGCAGGTCGAGGAGATTAACCCAGATAAGGTGCCTGCAGCCTCCAAGCTTTCATTCACTATACTATAAACCCTATTGAAAATCTGTGTCCTCACAAAATGAACGTCTCTGCTCTGCTGCTTTTTGTTTGTTTATTTGTTATTTTTCTTTTGGGGGAAGCAGAGAGAGCTCCCATCTGCCGGCCCACACCCTAGGTCTCCACCAGGTTCAGGACTGGGCTCTGTCGGGAGCCATTCACTCAATCCAGGCCTCCAACATAAGAGGAGCTCAACTACCTGGACCGTCACTGCTACCTCCCAGGATTGGTTTTGGCAGGAAGTGGAAATCAGGAGTCAGAGTTAGAAATCAAACCCAAGCACTATGATAGGAGACACCTCGTGCAGCCATTTTTCTCCTATTGCTTTGCCAGCAATGCCTATTAGTAAGTTCATAGCTGGGCTCAAAAAAGCCTGCAGCTACTCCTATTCTTTCTTCTTGAAACCCTTACAAAAACGCTTCTATCACTTAAAGTCACAGCCAATCTTACTGATTATTTTAGTATTCCTTTACATGCAAGTTATAACCAATCAGAAATCTTCATGGAAAATTGAAATCTCACAGAATTCCTACAAAGAGTTAGATCAAAATGACCAATTTGGAAGGACAGATTTTTCATAAATAAGATGCCAATGATCTCAAGGTTAATTTTTACTCTTCAGTTCCCTTCCCTGGTTGAAACTGCTGATGTTGCAGAAAGACTGACAGAATCAGGGAAAGCTTTATTTGAAAGACGCCCTGTCAATAGTTTAGACTAAACCCCCATTTTATTAAAGAGGAAATAGGTTTCTTCCAAGTAATTGTGGCTCAAGAAAGTCAATAATTACTAACAGTGGTATACCTATAATATCTAATAACTATATTATGAGGACACTTCCGAAGTTCATGGATAAATGGAATTGAAAGCTAAATCTGTGTTTGCATAAGAAGTTTGAAACCAACACAACATTTTTTTAAAGATTTGTTTATTTGAAAGTCGGAATCATACAGAGAGGGAAAGATGAGAGAGAAAGAGAGAGAGAGAAGCATTTCATGTAAGTGGAGTCATATCATATATGGTATTTTTGTGTTTGGCTTTTTTGATTTTGTTGTCAAGATTTATCCATGTTGTAGTATGTATCAGCTTTTAGTTCCTTTTAATGTCTGAGTAATACTCTACAGCATGGATATATGACACTACAATCTTTTTTTCAGTGGGTGGCTATTTGGATGATTCCTATTGTTCAAGTATTAGGAATCACGCTGCTATGAACATCCACACCAGAACTTTTGTGTAGATGAATGGTTTTGTTTCTCTCTGGTAGATACCTTGGAATGGGATTCTTGGTCTTCTGGTAACTATGTTTAACATGTGGACAAAGTGTCACATTGTTTCTACATTCACACCAGCAACATACAAACCTGTTCCTCTGCATTCCCACCAATACTTGTTATTGTCTTTCTTCCCATGTGGGAGACCAGGAAGAGGCTCCTGGCTCCTGTCTTTGGACCAACTCGGGCATCTGGGGAGTGAACCAGCAGATGGGAAATCTGTCTCCCCTTTTCCTCCCTGCAACTCTACCATTCCAATAAAAATAAATCTTTAAAAAAAAAATCTTCTGTTTCTCCAGGTGCTAAGACCATGGAAGAGGACAGCCTTCCAGAAAAGAGAAAGTTAATGATTGTAGTCTAGGTTGTAAAACTCCAACTTTCTCAATCCTTCCCTGTGTCGCAAACACTTCTACCCCAGGTTATTGAGATATGCCAAGAAGCCACCTTTCATTAAATGTTAACTTTCTGTGGCTATTAGATTCAAGGAGAGCTTAACTTCCCTGTTTCTCCCTGACATCCTGAAGTTTGCATTGGGGTGGGGAGCGGGAAGGCTGGATTCCGAAGCCAGCACTGACGGCCAACTCACTGCAGACCAAGTTTCTTACATCAGGAGAACAGAAACGGAAGACGAGGACAGGATGATTCCAACATGCCAGAGTGGGAACCTCAGCTCCTGGGAGAAGATCAATCACATTTCTAAGTCTAAAATTTTCAGACCCCAGGAGGATCTGATGGAAGGACGCGAGGAAGACAGTGATGTGAGCAAGTGCAACTTTACTGAAGTGTGTGTGCCATCTTAGAGGAGACAGATTCCAAACCAGACGAGGGACACCAAGAAACCCCAAGCTTAAGCAGCTACCAAGTAAACCAATTCACCGTGCTCTTACGCCACTCACACAGTCAAACTCTTGGAGACTGAGAACTAACATCCCAACTGCACCTCTGGAGAGAAAGCTCCACAGAACAGCAGGCAGCAACCAGCTAGCTCTGCCACTCGCTGTGAGTGTACTTACCGCACGTGGAGCAATCGCAGGGCATTGTCAGGGCCACTGCCGGGACAGGGGCTTCGAGGGTGACATCTCCTTGTGCTTACACTGCTCTGGTCACAACTGTCTGGGGAGACCAACCTTACCCGGTGCAAACAATAAACTACTTTCTATAGTGTAGTCTGTTTTGTAATATATGGTAAAGCTAGAGGGAAAAGAAGCTTAGTGAGACAGACAGGGACATGACCAAGCTTGCAACTTTTTGGCAGGTTCTGCTACCAAAAGAAATGGACATGATTTAGCAAATAACAATAACACAACAAAGGCTGAGTTGGAAATAAATATGCAAACAACATCTTGGAAGTTTACACTGCTAAATCCTAAATCAAACACACAACAGACAGTATTTTCCAACCACCACCAAACCGGATTTCTGTCTTCTTGCTTTGGCAGCCAAAGAAAGGAAAAGGGAAGAGAATAAGAAGCACAGGTCATGTCATCTCCCCTCGGTCCTCCACCCTTTTTTGTCTTCTATCAAATGCCTGCCTCAACCTCCCTTGGTTCATCATCCCTCACCTGGGAAATTTGCACCCAGCAGCCAACACAAGGCTCTGCTAAGAATGTGGAACTGCAGCTGGAAGAGGGGCATACGCTTAGGGACAGCGCCCTCTAGTGGTAAAGGCCTTGTCCCGCACATACGCTGTCCACTCACTTTGGTACCTGCATGGGGACACAAAGCCTGCCCATGGCAGAGCTATCGCCTAAATCTCGGTCTCCGATTTGGTGCTTTGGCCCATTTCTGGGAGCTCATGGAAGGAATCCCGACTTTTCCTGTCAGTAGGGGCAGTGAGGGCACATAATCATGGCTGTCCATGGTCTTGCTTCCATTGGTTTTCATGCCCTCTTGATTCAGCCACAATATCACACCATGGTCTAGCCAGACATGCTTCGTCTCCATCAAAAACCCCATCAACAAATGCAGGACCATACCACTCTTTTCTCTCTCTCTCTCTCTCTCTCTCTTTTTACCAGTTATTTGTTTTTATTGGAAAGGCAGATTTACAGAGGATAAACAAAGAGCTTCTGTCTGCTGGTTCACTCCCCAAGTGGCCACAACGGCTGAAGCCGAGGCAATCCATAGCCAGGAGGCAGGAGCCTCTTCCAGGTCTCCCACATGGGTGCAGGATCCCAAGGCTTTGGGCCATCCTTGATTGCTTTCCCAGGCCACAGGCAGGGAGCTGGAAGGAACGTGAAGCAACCAGGACATGAACTAGCACCCATGTGGGATCCCAGCACTTGCATGCAAGGCGAGGACAGTAGCCTCTAGGCTACCGTGCCAGGCCCAACCTATCCCATTTTAAGGACATCTTCATCTGAGCGTATGAGAACAGGACTAAAGCAAAATTGCTTATGCCTTTGTCTGCCAAGACCAAGACAAATACAACTTATCAGAAGAAACAGGGACCTCGGCGGCCAGCATTGTGATGCAGTAGGGCAATCTGCCACCTTCTATACCTGCATCTCATATCAGGGCACTGGTTCAAGTCCCAGATGCCGTGTTGCCCATCTGGCTCCTTGCTAATGTGCCTGCAAAAGCAGTGGGAGACAGCACAAGTACTTGGACCCCTGCCAACCACAAAGGCAATGGAGATGGAGTGCCCATCTCCCAGCCTCGGCCTGGTCCTGCCCAGGGTGTTGTGACCATTGTGGGAAGTGAACCAGTGACAGAAGAGATCTCTTTCTCTCCAAGTCTCTCCCCCTCTGTCACTCTGCCTTTCAAATAAATAAAAGAGCTCTTTAAAAAAAAAAAAGAAGAAAAATAGACCGTAGCTTAATGAACAAATCTACTAATGATGACTTGCCCAGTCATCCGGCGTTGCCATTTATGCAACTGTTGCTGGATCTTGCACTCAAATACTAAAATGCATGAGCCAGTCGCTTCAGGGACTGGTGTTGTGGTGTATCTGGTTAAGCCTCCACTTGGAATGGGCTGCCAAATCCAGTGTTGATGGCAGTTCAAGACCTGGCTGTTCCATCTCCAATCCAGCTCCCGCCAACGCTCCTGGGAGAGTAACTGAAGATGGGCAAACTCTTGGACCCATACACCCATGTGGGAGACCCAGAAGAGGCTCCAGGTTCCTGACTTCAGTATAACCCAGTCTTGGCTGTTGCGGGAATGAATCCACACATGGGAGTTTCTATCTCTTTCTCTCCCTCCTCTCTTTCAGTAACTCTGTCTTTCAAATAAATGTAAAATAAACCTTTAAAAAAATTACCCTTCAAAGGCACACAGTCTACTCAGGGAACCAGGATCACTTTGTACAAGAGCAAA